TTAGTAATAACTATAACTTTCAGTAACATTACAAGTGGACACTGTATTCACGGCTTGAAATATAAATTTAGTGTGCCCTCACAAACAATAAATATGTTAACTTTATTACATAGGAACAAATACGTTCGCTCTGTGTTCAAAAGCTATTGCTCTACGTTGAATTAAAGCAACTTTAAATCTTGGTTCAGACTAATTTACAAACGACTGAACTATATTACTAAACCTACAAATACGCCTTTCAAATAGTCAACTGACACTTCGATTTTAAATAGTTTTCGGGCTGTTAGTGTGAACTTTATAAAGATTTTAGAAATCATTAAGGTAAACTTTTTGAGACGCCTAACGTCATAGTTTTCGTTTTAACAAAACACTGACCTTTGAGTTAAAGAACATGTCACATCAGGAAAAATTCAACTGGGCGACAAACGACCAAAATACTCAACTTAGAGCAAATTAGACTTCACCGATTACGCCCTTATTTCGCTATCATATGTATGTCTTTTTGTGCGGAAATTTTACATTATATAGCTCCTTACACTGAGTTATGTTAAACTCCTTCCAAACAGAACGATTTGATATATAGATATGTTAAGCAGGAGTACTTAAATTGTAGTCTAGTTCTTGATCCTTTTTTTTAAAGTAATCTTCTACGAGAAGGGAGAAAAGAGATCTCACACATACAATATCACTACTATTAACAATAACAATCAGAGACTTTTTTCTTCTTCTATGCTTCCACTTCCAAATTAATGTAACTCGCCGTTTTTCACTCCATTCTTATTTTGATTTAGAGTAATGAAGTTCAACAAGTCAATGCGTGTCACAATTCCAAATATCATCTCTTTTTCATCCGGTTTTCCTTTGTTGGAATCTGAGGTTTGAAATAGAACCATGGAAATTGTAAAATTATGAAATGTACATAATTATTCCATTACTACATCATTTTATCAAATAAGGTCATGAGAAAGCGCAAATATACCACAGTATTACACTGAAGAACAGGGCAAACATACGGAGCAACAAAATGGCCGCACTGAATGATCCAAACTTTGATGCTTTTTTCGTTTTTAGACTTGAATTTTAAAGAAACAAACTTTCAAGCGCGTCAGGTATTTTTTTTGTAAGTCGCACACTTAAATGGTTTCGTTAGTGTTGTTTTCACCCAATTCTAGATGAGAAAGCCTATTAAGGTTGTTAAAGAAGAAGGGAAATTCGCTGATAAAGTCATACCTAAGAACACTCAAAACAAAACAGCCCACGCAGCAAATAGAAGGCTGTTCGTAAACATTTTTTTACGCGCGTTGCAATATATTTCAAAGATAGTAAACACAACAACCTCGATTTTTGCTCGTATATTTGTCCTTATATCTGCTCCTCAAAGCTCAAACGTTTTTCCTCGAGCTTTTCTCTCGGAAAGATGTTCGTATCTTGGAACTGTTTATTATCGCGGACAAATATCCGTGCATATTTTCGCGCTAAATAGAGGATATTATCTATTTATTAAAAACTAGATCATTGGATAATGCAATTCAAGACTTTTTATTGGCTTAGCCATTATGGTATATCAGCCAATATACCATAATCTACAAATATGGTAAGCGTACGTGTCAGCTTAAAATTAAAAGGGAGCTAAAAATTTAATAAAATTTAATAATTTAATTCAACGTTTTTAATAAAACAATTATTCCACTCGCGCTTGTTAGATATGAGATGATTATAGCCAACGAGGCGCTACGCCCCTCGTTGGCTGTCTATCATCTCATATCCAACGCGCGCTCGTGGAATAATTGTTAAATATTTGATATTGTATCGTTTTACCCTTATTTTAGAAATGATCAAATCACTTACAGAGTCGTTGCCTGTGAACTACGACGGCATAGTGATCATGATCCAAGATGCGGGACAAACGGCCCAGGGTAGTGTCTAGTTTAACCTGGTGAAAAAAAGAAAATAAAAACTTCGAGCTTTAAATTCATTGAAAAGAAGAAGCTTGCTGCTCTGTGTTTTTTTAGGCAATTGCATGCTATCTTCTACCATTACAGGCTGAAAAGCATTATACTCTGGAATATCACGACCCCTGAATTTCATTGACTAACAGCCAGTACACTGCCCGCTCTATGCTTTTAAGAGGCTGACAGCATAGAAAGAGAACGCTTTAACGACCTTACACCAATTACCTTTTTAAAGTTTTTGTAAACAGAGTGGATAATGGGGCTTTCAGGTGTGATTCGTCCACTAAGCATCTGGGACATTATGTTACCAAGGGTTACCATTCCCATCACGGACCTAGAATGAAAAGAGAACAGGAATGGGTATGGCTTATCTGTTGAGATTGACACCTGTGCTCAAGGGGGTAGATTTGGTTAACATCGCATTACCGAAAAAGATCGTGCGCTTCATGCAGCTTAGATATCGTAAGGTCTCTAAAAAAGTATCTTTCAACGAAGAAGAACAAAACAGTATGTTGCCTGCATTACTTGATATGGAAAAGGAAAAAAGCAAACCAACGCATAGAAATCATGCAAAAGGTTAAACTGTCTAGTTCTTAGACATAAGGAATGCGCACCGAAATATAACTGTCATAGTATTACAAATAATGCAGCAATATTACTTCTGACAATTATTGAAGAATTTCAGAAAATCTCCGAATATGGACTTAAAACTCACCCCGATTCGTTGACAACTGGAAGTTGATCAAAACCTTCTCTGCAAAACAATATTTAATAATAATTGTGATTTTTAGGGTCAATGAAAACAAAGGGAAAAAGAGCGAAAAGAGGGGGACAAATACTCGGATGGACGCCTATTGGTTCGTTCTTTTATAGTGAGCAAGGGCTGCTTGATCTTAAATCAAAGCTTGAAGCCATGCAAATAACAGTTACTCAGAAGTTCAGATGATTGTCGGCTTTCATGCACACGTCTCGAAAAACATACTTCCGTTTGAGAGATTTTCTATAGACAACCTTGATTAGGTTCACAAATTCCGAAGCTTGGACCGGGGACCTCCCTCTCTGTTCCCTTATTTTCTCTTACAGAAACGAAAGCTTACTTTTCGGCGCCTTCGTCATCTTCTTGAAAGAAAAGATTTTCTACGTTGTAACGAACCCTTTCTGATAACTACTGAAAATGAAAGTCGTTTGAGATTTTGTCACCTCTTTTGAATTCTTACCGATTCTTTATGGTGATAAATCCTTTTGAAATATCAACACATTTTGTGGACAAGACAGTTTAATAAAAAAAGTTCGTCATTTGAAATAACGTATCTCTCGTCACTTTTGCGCCAAGGGGTCTCAAAACAATGATCGAGATCAACTTGTTCATATTCATTGTGTTTAATGGGAGTTTATATATATCTTATTAACCAAGCGCGAGGGCCGTACTGGGAGAATATCGGCCCGAGGTCTTGAGAGTACGGACCAAGCGCAGCGAGGTCCGTTTAAAAAAGACCGAGGGCCGATATTCATCCAGTACGGTCCCCAGCAAGCTTGGTTATTAAGAGATTTATGATACGACTGAAGTTCAAAGGGACACAAGTGCGGTATCATTCGGGACCATTCGGGACAGTGCCCGCTCCAATACTGAGAGAATATTGGACCGGCAATAGAACATTTTGATTGGTTGATTTTAGTTATTGGCCCTCTGACTGCCCGAGTCGTGTAATAATTCTCTGATACGAAACAGTCGAACTAATACATTCAAGATTGAGTGCAGAAACACTTTTTACTAATGCAAGTCTGGTGTTTCCGAAACCTTTATCAAAAGTAATTCAAAAATCAGGAATTTATTAAAAAAGAGCTGCAGAAAACAGAGCAAAAATGAATTTCATCCATAAGAGCGAATGAATGAATACAATACCTGTCCATTATGTCAATGGACTGTTGACAGGTGACAGTTGGCAAAACAGTCAAAGGAGTTGGAAGGTCGATACAGGAAATTTTCTTTGTCCACCACCTTTAAAATCATAAATCTTTCGTTAGTAATGTAACAAAGATGGTAATGTTGAGAGATTTCTTTATCATTCCTTATTTACGTAAGTTAACAGAGCTGACTTTGAAATCTGCCTTGAATAACTCAAAAACAATTGCTAAGTGTAACACACCTTAGATTCCTCTTAGATGAGTGAGTCAAGCAACCATTTCGTTGCAGCGTGCAATGCAAAACTGAGTAGAATCAAATGTCAATATTTTTTTATCATTGCATTGCAAGAAAAAAACCAAGGAGATATGACATTTACTTTGAATAAAAAAATGTGAGACCGTTTTGGCAAAAATCAGCTAGTATGACATGACCTTCAGTGTAAAGGAAACATACCAAAATTTACTGTGGTCTTCATTCCTCTCTTTTTCAAGAAATCCTTTGTCTTCCATCCAGTCATCACTTAAGAATTTTGTCCTGTGGATGTCATAAAAAAGTTGTAAACTACCTTGAATTCTTCATAAGATAATTAGGTATAATAATATAATAATATTCATTACTTGTTTGGAAAAAATTCCAGTTATGAACTTACATGTAGTTCCTGACAGAGTCAGGTAAAAGGACAACACACTTCTGTCCCTCCTGCAGAGTCTGGGCTGCCTGCACTGCAGCTGCCATTGCACTTCCACAAGAACCTCCTAAATAAGAAATGGCAGACTGAATATATCTACACATGCATTCTGCTATTTAGTCATGTCACCATATAAGGGCAACATAACATACACTAATGCCTGCCACTTCCTGGTAGGTTACAAACTGCTTTTTCTTCAGTTAACTGATTTCAACTGAGGGGTACGGGAATGTTTGCATAAGGTGTGATTGTTTACTTTAAAGAAGTCATGTAGAGAAGTTTTTTGCTAGTGACTATCTCTGAACTTTTAACAACCTGAGAGGATTGGGTTCACCTGAGCTATATTTAGATGAAAGTCCATAGATTTGAAAGTTTTGGTCCTTTACTTGATATTAGTAACTTGCTATCACTGCTGGTCGTAGGAGTAAAGTTGAGAACAGTGGTAATTAAAGCTATATTAAATGTCGATTAAAAACTCTTGCCTAATACATATCACTACTAATGAGGTCATCAATCTTTTCATCACTTCCTAACTCATATAGATGATGCATGCCACTTAACAACATATTTAAAATAATTTTTGATTAAGCATATTCTATGAGAAAACACACCACACAGCAATCCCTCTTCTTTTATGAGTCTCCTTGCAAAAGTGAATGCTTCTTTGTCTCCAACTTTGTACCACTTGTCAACAACTGAACGGTCCAGAACAGTAGGAACAAAGTCATACCCAATACCTTCAACCTAAATAGACAGGTGATAGCATTGAGGGACCAAATTTTGTTTTCAGAATACATCATGCATGCTACTATAGGTGAGTGGAAATTATCAATAACCTTTAAAATCATTTCTGATCAATCAACAAATATTACGTCAATTCTCAATAAACTTTAAAAAAAAATTGTCGACCCTAATATAGTGTTAAATTTAAGACAGAATTGCAAAATTGAAAAAAAATTTTGCATTCTAATTAGTTAATGAAGTAAGTTATTTTGCATGGAATTGCATGTTTAAAACAGTTTGCTAAGTGATATTGTTTTGCATCTGAGTGTACACTCAGGATAAATTCAAATATACTATTGGTGTTTTCCTTTTTTCCTATATTTACACTAAATTATTCAATTATGTGATACAAGAAAAATCGGTTATCTGATTTGTAAATCCCATGTTAAATTGCATTTGAAAACTGATCTTGCACTCATCGCTTCCTGATTCTGGAAATATCAGTTTTCAGGTGCAATTCAAGCCAGAATTCAGGAGTCAGGTAAGGAATTTTCCTATTATAATATATACATAGCAGTTCCTGTCTTGCAACATATAAAGGCACTGACAAAACATACAACCCTATCTATCTATTGCAGTTAATGTTCTCTTAGATAATGGGGGTAAAGTCCCGCTGAATAAAGTGACGAAAAGGCAAAAATAATACTTGTTGAGAGCTGCCCTCACACTCTAGGAAGGTCAGTTATTTTCTTTTGAATTCTTTTGCTAAGAGGTCTCTAACTTGTACAATTACAATTACAAGTTATAATATCTTCCAGTGACAAGAGAAACAAAGCATGTAATTGAAGGAAGGAGGAGGTTGCATGGGGCGGTATGGGGGATGTAAGATGCAGAGGTTGAGGCTTTCTAACAGCTTTTATTCGGCAATCAAAACTACGGCTATATAGCAGCACATGCTTAGCAAAACAAAAGACCCAATGTCTCGTACGTGCAAAGTTCATATACCTTAACAGTGTCCGATGTCAGCACATAGCTGCATGGTGTGACATTACCTTATGTAATGCGATTCGATAATCATGTCTTACAAACAAAACTCTAAGCACAAATTGTCACGGGGGTGGGGGGTATATATACCAGTAGATATGAAATATAACTGCAAGTTTCACTTCTTGCTTAAAATTTATTATGACTTCAAGTTGTTCCTGCTAAATGCACGAATAATGATAATTAAAATGTTCACTGCATGACACTTCAGAAAATTGAGGTTATGTTTTTCCAAGGGAAATTTTTCCTGTGGTAGAATTCCTTCCTGTGAATTTACTCTTCAATGCTTGAGTATGACCAGAAATCTCTGTTACTTTATGTTTTCTTACATTATATATTGGGTCATCACAGTCATTAAGTTCTTCTGGTTCAGCTAAGATTGATCCATGTGGATCAACACCAACAATCTATGAATTTAAAAATAAATAAAAATAAATTATATAATAAATTAAAAGAAAATTGGACGGTATGGATAAAGCAATATGTAAGTAAAAAAATGAACAAAAAACGAAAATTAATCTACAAATTGATATGTCTAATGAGGATCTAACAGAGCTTACAATAAATTGTGAAACAAAAGGGTCAGTGAAACACACACACACAAAAAAAAATGAAAAACTGCATGTAATTTGCAAAATGGAATTTCATATTAAGAACTCAAGGTACCTTAACGTTAGGGCATTTTTCTTTTATTTTTCTTGCTACTCCTGTGATTGTACCTCCAGTACCAGCTCCAAGTACCACCATGTCAACCTTACCTTAATTTGCACAAAACACATCGTACAATAATCAGTCTGTATGACCACAATCAACACATCACATTTTCCTAGTTCTATTTTAATATCATGATATTGCATTTTTTCTCAACAAAAGGGCTCCATCACAACAAGAACTGCATTTCTGCTTTATCATAACTACTAAAGCACACCAGCTTTAATTTCAATAGTTTTGATAATGTACTAGCACTGTTGCTGTTAGCAAACAAGTTAGTCAACCTACCACCACACTGCTGGACTATTTCTTCACCTGTTCCATCATAATGAGCCAAAGGGTTGCTTGCATTTCGATACTAAAAGAAACAAATCTTAGTGTCATTAATTTATATATTTAATACATTTACAAATTGACATCTAAAACCACATTCATATTAGATTCCCTTTTTAACAGCAACACTATCAACTTGACCAGTGCACTTATGATGGGGTATCACTTCACTTCACTAATTGCATCACATCCAATTTCTAAATGAAATAAAATTACAGTGGAACCCCACCTTATGCCCACCTTAGTAATATGGTCAGCCCAATTTATTACCGAAACCTTGGTAGTATGGTTATCCCATTAATATGATCAATTTGGATGACCATTTTAATGGGGTTCCACCTGTAATTATAAGTAAATTTTCCTTTGTTATTTGTCATTTGCAAAGGTGAGTTTCAAAGTAGGGTGGTCGAGGAAGGGAGGGGAAGGGTTCAACTTGCTGTGGGTCAGGTCAGTCACGTCTGGAGACAAGTAGGATGAACTCAAGAAACATACCAAGACTCACTCTGATCACTGAATTAGGCTCAGTAATTTTCAATCAAAACTTCTGACTATTGCATGACAACTTTCTATAGTTATCAAAGTCAGCTTATGGTCTTGTAAGGGTCTTGTGATTACTGGTGCACCATAGATTTTAAAAGCTATGACTAAGTCTCCCTTAAGTTTGACTCTTCAGTCAACTGCCTACCATTTTCCTATAATACCTCCATTTCCCAAAAATAAATATTATGTTCAATTAAACCCAAAAAAATCAGGAAAGAGGCAAGAACATATTGCCAATCATAATCATCTGTTATTTCCTAACCTGATCCAAGATGATGGAATTTGGAATCTCACAGTTAAGTCGTTGAGCAACACCAATGTGTGATTCTGAAATAAACAGACAACACTTTGTTTCATCTACAAGCTCTTTTTTCTTTCAAACAAGATATGGGCTGTGGCTCATGTACACTTCATACTCTGGGTAAATTTAACTCCTTTCCTTTGAGGATTGTAACATGTCTTGACATGAGTGTGTCAGTGCCCTTACTGGAGAAAAGTTTAGCTAGGGTATTAATTATTGCAAGGAAAACTGATGGCAGGTAAAGACAGCTGCTTCTAATCTGATCAAAAGTTTGAGAAATACAGTTACAGTAATTATATTGACGTATTCTATTCCTTCAATACACCATTCTTCACCAACACAGGGAGGCCAAGCTCTCCATGAGAGGATAATATTATAAAGCTTGTATGGGAGTTAAGACTCTGCTCTGTAACTCTATGAACAATTAAGGACTCCTTTGAGTACCGTAACATATAAGCTGATGTTTCCAGTGTTTGGCCTCTGTAGTGGATGAAGGGTTAACACAGTTTAGAAACTAGTTACACTTGCTAAGTTACATTTTACTAACTCAGTTAATAAACCAAATTATCTTGTTTCTACAATAAAGTCAATTTAACTTTTTAAAGCTTCTACTTGCACATTAGCAATATAATAATTTAAAGTAACTGACTTGATGTGACAGTAATAAGGTAAATCCAGTTGTGATATTGTTGCTATTGAGAGGATGTTATCTACCTGGTGAGTCAAACTTGGCTTCTGTTGGTGTACGCACTATTTCTGCACCTAGGGCCCGAAGGACATCTACCTAAAAATTATCAGGTTACAGCTATGAGCTGGCATCAAATGAATCGATAGAGCCAAAAATCCCTCAAAACTGCAAGGATAAAACTGACTGTGAGCCAGTCAACTATGCCATGCCATGCATGGCTGTATGAATAATCATTATAAATTACACAGCTTTATAAAAATGCTCACACTTATTGGCTTCAACACTTGATCCATCTGCTGGGTGGTTGCATGCTTAGATCAGTTAATTTTGCTTTTTTTTTTTAACACAAAATGAAAGAAGTTTGAAAGTCCCAATGCTATAAAAGACATGGTTAGTGTGCAGTGTGCAACCATTGAGTTATGGATTCAACTGGTAGGTTTGCAAAGCATCCGAGAAGCAAAAGTCGCACTCTACTCTTGCCCTGTGTAATGCTGCACATGCAAGCGTGAGTAGTTGTACTCTACCTTCTACTTCTTTCGTGCTTAGCAACCTCCAGGGTGCATCCATAGCCTGATGATTGCATGCTATATGCTAACCATCTCTTAAGTGGGGAATTATACCAAGAGGACAAGCACTTTTTGGTCATTTACAGGAAAAGATATACCAGCTAGTTGAAGATGAACAGATTTCTAAAGAAATTTGCAATTTTTTTGTCAAGCAGTGTAATCTGACCTATAAGGAAGATGGAATAATCCCACTCTTTTCACTGGATGAGGTAAATCTTTGAGGCTGATAGGTAACAACAAATTCAAACACAGTTCCTTTGTCTACTTTCCCAGGAGTTTCCTTGGATTGAATGAAGTAGATTGAAGGTGATTACATTTTGCTTATAATTTTTAGTTTGGGAACTTGTCTCTGAGGATGGAGGACAATCTGAAGAGTATAATACAATGTAACAAAACCCATGAAAAGTTCACACCACAGGTACAGCACTAAATTCATTCAAGCAGGACAATACCTTTTCGTTACTCATCTTTTCAGGCATCACTATAATGCAGCGATAACCTTTCACTGCTGCTGCTAAAGCAAGGCCAATTCCTGAAAACAGATAAACATAATTTTCCTCAGCATATAAACCTCATACATTCTTTATGTCCCCCAATTAATGGCCATCTTCAGGGAAAATCTCTGTGAATTTCTATGTAATTCCATTCCAGAGCTTTGTTTTCCTCTTAATTGGCACAGTGGAGAAAACGTAACCTGTCTATAGCACATGCTGAGATTCAGTTCACCTAACAAGAAATGATATGGAAAATGGGAAAGGAATAGAATCATAATTTCTTGGTGGAAAAGAAATATTTAAGGATCCGTTAAACATATAGAATCAGTTAAACATGTAGAATCAGATTTCTAGTGCTATTTTTTCGGCGGTGACACTAGAAGTTTTCAAATATAGAGCACACATAACTCAATACATAAGCTTAATTTTTGAAAAGAAATTCTTGAAAACTTGCCTCAATACTTCTGGTTCAACATGGATAGCACAGACTGGGCTGGTTTAATTTTAGTTTAAACGGTAGGAAAAACAGATAAAACCCAGACGAATTTGAACAAACTATGGAATATTGGCTCATCCTCAGTGTAAAAACCTGTGAAGCGCAGAGTGAGGTAAAACAAAGACAACAAAACATTATAAACAATAGCGTACAGCAAAACAATACCTCATGAAACAAAGAAAACCTCGTCAGGTATTTACACCAAGGATGACCCGGAATATTGGATTACATGTAATTCTAGACACGCCTCCACACACGCCTACAAATATGATGTAATGTGAATACGCAATGATTGCAACATAAAAACTTGAAATTTGAAAATTTGAAAGTTTATCTCTACCTATACCAAAAAAGGAATTGTGCTACTGAATAGTAAAGAACAATGTAAACTGACTGACCAGTATTTCCCGATGTGGGTTCAATGAGAGTGTCTCCAGGTTTGAGTTTTCCTTGGCGCTCAGCATCTTCAATCATTCTAAGGCCTATCCTGTCCTTCACTGAACCTCCTGCGTTGAAATACTCACACTTTGCCACTGAGGATGAAATACAATCTCACTATTAAGTCACAGTCATGGTCTTTTAATGACACACATAAGTTAAACTTGTACTCACACAATTCACATTTCAAGCCACAGCTTTTTCCAATCTTGTTTATTCGAACTAGCGGGGTATTTCCAATGCGATGAAGAATATTTGGAATTACTTTGTTCTCTGTCACCCTAAGAAATTCGGGAAAGAGTTAACTTTTCATTAAACGACATAACTGGTCTTGTTGCACTAAACACAGTTCGATCACTTACGCGGTCTTTTCGTGTTGATGTGGAGATTCAGTTTTCACTCCCAAGTGCCAAGTACATTTCGAAGGTAAATCGGGCCGAACCCATTGCCGTTTATCACCGACAGAACTTGATCGTTTCAACTCTTGATGAGACATTTTCCCTACAACATTGCATCAGCTAACAAACTAAAGACGTCTTCACTCTCGAGTGACCCAACGGAAGTCGAGTCCGAGAGAGTCCTCTGACGTAATTTCGTATGATTGGTTACCAAATGTAAGAAGGTAGTAGATCCTGGACAAAATGTTCGATTCGTCGTTTCCGCAGTCCTTTACTTCTGGTCGAGTCGTTATTTTCCGAGTTTGACTCGTCGAACTTCCAGTTCGAGTCGCCGTTATAGAAGTCGACTCATCGCTTCGTGAGTTCGTTTCGTCGTATTATTGTCAGTTCGCGGCCGGCCTCTTCGGGACTAGGACAAAACACTGACACTGGGTCAACTGACCCCCTACTGACCCCCTCTTAAATGCACTGGAAATCATGACAACCTAACGATACAAAATTACGATGTAATTAACAATTATTCCACAAGCGCGCGTTGGATATGAGATGATTATAGCCAACTTGGCGCTACGCGCCTCGTTGGCTATCCATCATCTCATATCCAACGCGCGCTCGTGGAATAAATACACTCACCTCTTAAATTCCATAATGGCGGAAGATGGTCGATCTGCTTAATACCACGAGTCTGCCATAGTCCAAACTCGTTTTACCACAATTGTTAGTTCTCCTATGTTCATAAACGAATGGCAAATGGGCACTGCGTTCCACCAAAAAGAAGAATAACCAAAAAGAAATGAAACCTCTGAACAAACGAAGGAAAGTCATCGCCATGGGAATTAATATTAGAGCGTGACCTTGCACTACTAAAACACTTCAAACTTTCGGTTTCTCACGCTTTGGTCGAAGAAAAACAATCCTTTTCGGTGGAAACGCATACAACGCGGTACACAATGTTTCGACACATTTGCCACTCGTTTATGAGTGTAGGAGAACTAACAATTGTGGTAAAACGAGTTTGGACAATGGCAAACTACATAGGTATTAATCAGATCGACCATCTTCCGCCATTTTGGAATTTAAGAGGTGAGTGTATTATTATATCGTAATTTTGTATCGTTAGGTTGGGTTGTTATCGTTAGCTTCAATTCATGATTTCTGGTGAATTTAAGAGAGGGTCAGTGTTTTGTCCCAGCCCGCGTCTTCGACTCGTCGTCTTACGAGTCCGACTCATCACTGCTCAATATCATAACTGAATGTCTCAATATCATAAGTGAATGGCTCAATATCATAACAGAATGTCTCAATATCGTGACTGAATGTGTCAACGTCAAAACAGAATGTCTTAAATTTTGACGGTAATTACACTTCATACTACTTCACCCTATGTTATCTAATGCCGACCCTTCTATAACGGCGACTCGAACTGGAAGTTCGACGAGTCGAACTCGGAAAACAACGACTCGACTTGAAGTAACGGAGTGCGGAAACGACGAAACGCCATAATGAAACGACGAATCCAACATTTTGTCCAGCATTTACCTTCATTCAAATGAGATGATAAGATACGACAAGTTCATCGATTAAGACCTTCACTATGGACTACTTCTTTAAACCGTGCCTAATTTTGAGAGGTGAACTTCTATTCCATTTGTCGCTAAACACTGGCGTATACAAAATCTTTCCTTCAGGGCTTGGCATTACCCTTCTGGTCGTCGTCTACGCATCAAGCACGTCTTTGCTTGACTTCCCTCATAAAATGTATTTGAAATATTTTAAGCCTTTTCATCTCCAAGGGAATGATATAGAGGACGGATAACCTAATTATCAGTCAACCTGCATTTGCTAGCCTTTTGCGTGAGTGGGGGTGTCGCACGAGGGTATGGGACGACAGTGAACCGGAAGAGAGGGTTCGGCAAGGAAGAGTTTTGAGTAAATATAATTTCACCAACAGTTTACACTTGTATTGGTGCAAACCTCAATAAACAAAGAGTAATAGATTAAAAAATTAGGTAAATTTTTCTTGGAAAGTTTTGAGGAAGTCACAAGTTTAAAAACTCGTGAGGAAAATGGCATGGTTAATTTGATGTAAAAGAAGGTCAGGATTTTGAAAACCAGACAGCCCACCCCTTGATGGTATTCTGGAGAGTACCACTTGGGTATGTCTACTTTCCCAGCTGGGTGCTGCACTCTCCAAAAACTGAGTGCCATCAGAATTACCCAAAAGCTCCTAATGAACTCTATATCCATGCCAAGAGACAAGATTTCATTTTTGATACTTCAAACACAACGAATATATAAAATTCATAGATCTGGCCTGATAAATACAAATACATTTTTGTTGCTGTTCAAATTTTTTTTTTAATCATTGATTTCTCTACCCCTTTATTTTTACAAAATTAAAGGTATGACTCGAAAAATAACTGATTTGACACTTGCACTGTCAAATCAGTTTTTTAATTTAAAAAATCATTTGCCACCATTGAAAGTTCCCAACAAACAACCCTAAAAATAAGACTTGAAGAAATGAAACAAAACCTTAGAAAGTACATCAGACACTCAGCTGTGGGATGATTTCTGGTGATGTCATCTTTCACATCTCATTCTATTAATCAGTAAATAAATAATGGTCATGCAACATAATTCAACACAGGCATTTTACCCTCTTAAATATATTGTTTCAAATAAACTATTTTTGGCCTTTTTCCCTCTACATTGAATGTCCTCAACAAGACCTGAGGAACAGTTCAAAACCTCACAAATTCTACAGAAAAAAAAAAAAAAAAAAGAATGCTAACTAGGTCACTAATACATTTAAATTAACAAACTGACTAATTAACAACCAAGAATAATGTAAATGGTCAGGATGAAAGTTAAAATTAACGATTAGTGATTAAATGATTAAGGTCAGTGATTAAAAAAAGCTATTTTTTGTAAGGAGGGGAATATCAGGGGGTTCTGCACACCACAGTACTACAAAAAAAATCAGCAAATACTGCAATAGTGCAAGAAGATTTGAGTTTTGAAACTCAGTATCATGCTGAAACAAACACTCTCTCTCTTATGTCTAGAGCAAATAACAAGGAAATACCAATCAAGAATTTGTTAATGAACTTGTAAAGATTCCATAGATTTATGTCAATCATGCACAGTTTTGTAAATGTACACATCAATTAGTTGGTTGAAAAATGACTCCCAGACTGAGCTGGAAATTCATCACACAAAACAAAATGGTCCACTAATCATTCAAAAATTTGTTCATGTGGACATAAAAAGATCTTACCATCTTTAATCATTATCCACAAATAGAAAAAAAAGATCAAATCACCATTCACACACACAAAAAAATTGCCCAATCATGCTTAAAAAAAAGTTTGATGGACCCTTTACTTATAATATGAATTGAATCCTTCCTATGCATCAATTTAACCATCATTATGTAGTGCCACTGGTTCCCCAGTAATGTCCTCTTAAGAATCTATATGTGAAACATCTTCTAGAGGTTGAGTTTCCATTTCAACATAACGCCGTCGCCAGCACTGTCTCCATCCCACTTGACTGGTGATATAATACACAGCTCGTGCCAAGAAAACAGCTCCAATGATCACAAAATAGCTCCCGTAAATCACAAACTGTGAACAAGAACGATTTCAATTCACTTTCCTGTCATTGTTTGCAATAATTACTCAAAGTTTAACTACCAAAGTATAAGCACTTAACAGATGCTTAAATTATTTTCAAGGTTCTCTGTAACCCTTCAGAGACTCTTGTAAATTCTAACTACAAATAACCATAAACGCATGAATACCTGTGTTTTAACTGGAATGTGTAGGCCTCCATCCACCACAACTGCTGTCAAGAGTGTTGAAACCAGAAGTGCAGCAAACATATTTATTCCAAACACCAAGGCAAATCTTGTCATTTCCACATGTTTGGCCACCTGCAGACTTAATAAAGAAATGAAAGATACATCACAATATCCACAGTAAAGCACATCAGAAAATTCATACTTGTCCTTGTGAATAGTATTAGGAAAAATTGTTGCAAAATATAAAAGTGGTCTGTTTCTAAAGAAACTGTGGTGCTACATTGGTGGGGGGATTACTAGATAATTTTGTTTTATCAACTGAGTTCATGATGAAAATTGGCCACTGTCAGAGTGAAATAGGAAGGGCTAATGCTCAAAACATCACTTTTAGAAAGTCTTTACAATTTGGCCAGTTTACAACATCAACTCAGTTGACAAAATCAAATTATTTTGTTGCAAAATATAACTATTTGACCCACTTAAAGAAGAGCTTCATTAATCAAATCAGATGACAAAATACTACAACATTCCTTAAAAAAAGAAAACACTACATATTTGTTCTTACTTCATTTTGACATCATTGCTATCATCTATTTAAGCAACAGAACACATTTTCCAGGTTCTATCATATTGCGACCAAGCCATGTGGGATCGATGCTGGGAGAACGAGAGGTAAGCTTGTAAATCACAAGCCTTTGGCTTGTGATTTATAAGCTTTGCAACTGCCTTTATGACATAACTAGTTAAATGACGGCTCTATAACCTGGTAAAACATCCACTTGGAAACTGAATTGACCAATCTGACAGTGTGTCCTATGTTCATTACTTAGTTCTTATTAACTGAGCGGGAGGTCTATGGGAGAATCTTGACTGAGGTCGCCAGTACAGACTGAACGCATTGAGGTCTGTACCAGCGACCGAGGTCAAGATTCTCCCATACAGACCGACCTAGCTCGATTAATAAGATGTTTATTATATGGCTGTCTTATATGCCAATTTTTTTATATTCTTTGTACCTTTTTTTTCTAGACCGGTCTAGATGGGAAAATTTAGACCGCTTTCAATATTGATTTCTACCAATCAAATTCATGAATTCGATAGTACCATGTCCTTGTGAGACACAGCCATATAATAAGTTATTATACAGAATAAACATACTGCAAAACGGAATCTCTTTGATAAAATAACTTTTCCACAGGAATTCATTTTTAGTTCTAATGTTAACTTCATGAAAAAACTTTGCCATATACCAACTATATTCATTAACTTTTGAAAAAAAAAATTCAATTACCTTGCTATTGTTATCAGGAAAGTATATGCTGTGCGAAACAGGACGTACATGAGATATGCCAACCAGATGTTGCCGGTCTCTGCACTTAGGAAAAGAAAGAATGCATCAGCTACTGACACCACCCCCAGACACAATTCCCCAAACATGGACCAATTAATTTTCACATGTGCCAATGCTACAGCCACTAATGACCCAGTTAAGTGTGAGATTGCAGTGACTCCACCATTGTAAATTTTGTGGTTGTGGTCGTGAGATGTGTAGATAATCTCCCATAAATTCTGTACGTAATTTTCAACTTGGAATTCCCCACCAGTTGCAAAGGCCCACCAAAGAGACCACCGCAGCAATTCTTTGTCAGAATAGCACAGCTTAAAATCACGAAACATGGCAATCATTGTTCGCTTCCATGAAGATATACAACCGTTATCTTGTTCTTCGATTAGATCATCAGATTCTGTCCTGGTGCTAAAAACGTTCCCAGAAGCTTTGGGTAGCAGGAGTGTTAGTATACAAGAGATTGAAACACTAGCAAGAGAGATGTAATTAAGAACCAGATAGTCAGTCAATTTGAACGTTATTAGAAGCTGGCCAACTACTCCAGACATCATTCTTCCCAACAAGACTGCCGCCCTGGTATAACTGGTCACGATCTTGAAATGATCTCTGTCAACTACCGCATAAATGTAGGAATAGTAAGCTACTTCAGCTCCAGTAGCTACTCCATAGGCGAACTGCATGAATTGCATCGCCAAAACTGTACCGGTCCAAATCAGAAGGATTCTTGTGGCCAAATAGGCCAGCCCCTCGATTATAATAACGGGTTTGTATCTCAACAGATCTGTGACTAAAAACACAACGAACAGAGTTAGAAGGTAGGAGTAGGTCCATACAGGGTAGATTTTCTCCAAATCAGCTTCTGTCAGATTCTTTGCTTTCAAATATGGAGTTAGGAAAGGCTCTGATGGTTTCATTTCTTTAAAAAAGCCATAGGAACAGAGAAGTATAGTAGCTTTGATCCAAAACTCCATCTTTTGGGTGGTGGTAGTATATCAATAATGTTCTGTCTGAGAAAACACCATCGGCACGTGATAACGATTAAAAAAATCAGGAAGTGAGCAAGTACCTGACTAGTGGGGGTGGAGAGGTGAAGTGTCAGAAAAAGGAAATTGAAGCGCCTGGACATATCTTCTGAATCAAGTTACATTAAACCCATTCCAACTTTTTCGTTTTCGACTTTTATTTTCTTGAATACCGACGAGGTTTTTTTTTCTATCAAGAAAAGGTGAACCCTCATTTCAATTTCCCCCTCCCAGCCCTAATTAGAATTAAATCATTCTGAACACAAAGAAAGATGGCTGCTAACTGTACACTGTTTGCAGAAAACCAACACTACTGCGTAAGTATTGATCTGTTTTGTTTCATTTGAAATCAGTAAGGTAAATAATTTCTGTGCTCCATCTATGGTGTCTTACAGAAAGTAATCGCCATTGTCAAGCAGACGGTAGCTTCTTTTTCCCTGGTTGCCAGGTGAGAACTAAACGCAGCTAAACGATAAGGTCGCCTTTTTCTCTTAGTGATCAATATTATGAAATTGTTTAGAAATATTGTAAATAATAGAGTAAAATGGCTCCATATCCTCCTGTTTTCTCTATATGGAAACATACCACATTACCTATGTTCCCTGAATTCGAAGTTTAATTTCAAAAGCATTTCCTCGATCCATCGCACATATTCCTCGATCTATGAAACTCGCCAAGTAAGCAAGTTCGTATTTAAATTAGATATTATGTTGAAACTCGGATATCTTTTAATGTTTGTGTAGGCTAGATTTCCCTTAGCGTATCAGTGTTTAACTGAAATTAATTATTGCCATGACAAGCTAAAACTGATGTTTGGCGCATATTGACGGCCCGGAGTTTAAAAACATTCGATAGAGTTCACGTATGTGAACGTGATGTTTTTGTTTTGAGGATTCGGTCGACCAGCTTATATCCAGATATTACTCGTAATACTGTTCTAACCTTTATTTTGACATTAGCTATCACAATTTAGAAGTTTTCATTCAAAACTTTCGGAGCTTGCACTTATCACGTTAATTTCACATTTAGATCGAATAAGAATTTTTGCGTGCGAATATATGAAATAAATATTTGGTTTTCTAAATTTAATTTAACATCCTTAACCGCTTTCAATATGGCTTCAGACCTCACCACTCTACTACAATGGCTATTCTTGAATTTGTTAACAATGTTTATGAAGGCTTTGAAAATAATGAATGCACCGTTGGAATTTTCTTAGACCTTAAGAAGGCATTCGATACAGTCAACGATCAGATGCTTAACAACAAATTAAACTTTTATGGCATCCGTGGTACTCCTCTAGCCTGGCTCAATAGTTATTTGACTAATGGTCAATGACCATGTGTCTTCCAATAAAACAGTCAAGACTGTGGGGTCCCTCAGGGTTCAGTTCTTGGCCCTCTCCTTTTCCACGTATACATTAATGATATTTTCCACTCCTCTAGTTACCTCTCTTTCATTCTCTTTGCTGACGATACCAATATTTTTTTTCGTCATAAAGACTTGGCTACTCTAGAAAACATTGTTAATCAAGAGCTTTCTCATGTCTTCTCCTGGTTTAATGCAAACAAGCTTACTATCCACCCTGACAAGTCCAAATGTGTTATCTTCCATCCACGGTGTAAACAGATTGATCTCTCCAAAGTTAACATCTATATAAATAACCCTCCTGTAACCCAGGTGGAGAAATGTACATTTCTTGGAATTATCATTCACGAAAATCTCTTATGGAAACATCATATTATTACTGTCTGTGATAAGGTCGCTAAGGTTATAGGAATTTTACGTAAATCAAGATGATATCTACCCTCGCATACCCTAAAAACTTGATATAATTCTCTTTTGCTACGGTACCATAGATTAATTATTGTAATTTGATTTGGGGGCCTACATTTGCCTCCTACTTCGAACCACTTTATATACTACAAAAGGAAGCCATTCATATTATTACATTCTCTCCTCCACTAACACAGAGTAAACCTCTTTTTTCTAAGCTCAATATTCTTTAGCTCCACTTACTCTACAAATTCCATGTATCCTGTTTTGTTTTCTCATATTTCAGTCGCCTTGCAATTAATTGTGCCTGCCACACTTTCTTCGCTTTTACATTTCAATCGTGAGTTTCATGATTATTCAACTCGCTCTTGTTTTAACTTACACAAATTCTCGCATAGGTATCAATTTACTATTTGTTCCCGAGCCCCAATTATTTGGAATGATATCCCTCTGACTTTCCGTAACAGCCTTACCACTAGTAACTTCAAAAAGAAGCTTAAATTGTACTTCTTGAACCTGAATTGAATTTTTAGCTACCAAATTGAATATGATACTGAACCTCTGATATACCCGGACTATTGTTTACTACTTAGATTAATCTACTGCTCTTTGTAAATTTGTGAACATTATACTGAACTTCTAATATTGTAATATCTAATATTCAAATATTCAATTATTGTTTATTACCTAGATTTGATTACATTAGATTAGATTAGATTAGAATACCGTAGATTAGTCTATTGTTCTTTGAAAAATTAGTCTTTGTCTCTGACCATAAGCCATTTAAGCCTCTGGCTTTGGCCAATCTTAGAAATTCACTTGTATGACACAAACAATAATAATAAATAAATAAATTTCATGAATATAATAGGCTGTTGAAGTATGACTGCATTTCATGATGTAAAATGTAGTGATCTATTTTCAATTACAATTACATTTTGCAGCCTCTTCATAATATTTGTCATATGGCTTTTCAGAAAGTACAAGTATTTTGTGCAGGTACAAGATCCTGATTTCACTTATAACTTATATTGAAAATATATGTTGATGTCAACAATCACATTACTGAGCATCTTTGACTTACAAACTACTCTACTGATCATGAGTAGGAATCTGCACATTACCTAATCTACAACACTTACTACTTTCAACGACTGACTCTGGAAAGGTGGTTTAGAATGGACTCCCCTCAACAGGTGCCAATTACTGTAGGCAACATACAAATGAATTAATTGTGAAATGAACATAACAGAACAACTTAACTTTACTGACGGATTGAAACTGACTAATCATGATTGACTTTTACACTGCTTGAGTCTTACAGCCAATAATATCATGGCTTAACTGACCAATCAGTTTATACAAACCAAACTTACTGCATAATTGACTGACAACAACTATTCACTTGGCTCTGGTGATGACTTCTACTCTGGTTATTGAATTGTCAGTGACCACTACCAACAACAGTTCTCCTCAGGACTACACTCACCTGGACAATCTGATTACACGATCACATAAAAATATTTAATGAGCTATGTTGTGTATAGAGATGAAGACAATGTTTAAGTTATAACCAACTAATCTCTTACTGCCACATGCTACACAAAACATGATGGCCTAGTGCACCTAGTCATTAATTGAAATGTGGCTCAACACAAAAACTACTTTTACAAAAGTATACATTTCTAAGCACAGAATGTATAAAATGTTAATAACACAAAAGTAATGTGTACTCACCACTCCTTTGAATTGATGGTTTATGCCAACAGAGACTTATCTTGGCTCTTAGTTTTGCTGCTTGTCTTGACAGTATAAGCTATCTACTGGTAAGTATCCTGTATAAAGCTTACTGTAAGTCTAATAGACATACAGAGATATGGTGTAGATGAACAGACAGATAGAAATACCTTTTGCTCATGGTGAGTGGAGCATTTCTCATTTGCATTCAGTTATTTTGTTTTTGAAAAAAAGTAAAGCCAAATACTATAGGTTGAGTAGTATGAAATGTATAATAAATTATAAGACATTGCCTGAGAGTTGTAAACTCTATCTTCTACTGTTGTTACAATATGCACCTTACATCCTTGCACGGTGGTATGTTAATGAATGGTTGATTAAACTGATCTTGAAACAATAGCTTTCATGTTTATTCCAGACAGGTGTTCCTCCAGATGACAACATTTTATGTGACTTCCAGGCCTGGCTTCTTTCTTTTACAAGTATGTAGACTGTTTTAAGTTAAGAGCAAGTACTTGATAGTACTTCAGTTCTCTGACCACGTTATGCTCAATTATAACAATAATAATAATAACAGCAGTTTATTAAACTCTCTTGCAGTAACTTACTGAATTAACGAGTTATGATACAATGAAAACTTAATTAGAATGACTATGTACATTTCTGCATACATTAAGTACAAGTCATATACACTACACGGAACATACATCACATTTGTTAAAAGTACTTAAAAGTTAAAAAGTCTTTGGTGCTCTTCATTCTATAGGTAGTAACATCTCTGTAAAGATACAACTTGTCTGATTTGTGCCTGAGGTTATAGGGACAGGTATTGTCTAAGTGTGTTGGTAGAAGAGGATGGAGAGGGTGGTTTAAGTCCTTCATTTTGCACATATACTCTTTACATATCTTATCTCTTCTATATGCAAGGGTCTCCACCCGTGCTAACGGGAGGGCTTCTGAGTAACTATCGGCACATGGGAAAATTATCTTGAGCACCCTTTTCTGTATGGATTCAATTTTGTCAGACAGATAACCTGGAATGGATTGCCATACTGGTACGGCGTACTCCATAACAGATCTAACAGCGCTTGTATAGACCTTTAACATGCTACCTTGGTCAACGCTGGCTCGACATAGAATACGTAGAGAGTAGAGCTTCTTGCAAGCTTTTTTATATATGTAGTTAACATGACTATTCCACCTAAGGTTGCTATCGATGAATACTCCTAGAATCTTGTAAGTCGATACGCATTCTATAGTGTTATTACTAATGGTCTGAGAGTAAAAGTATTAATTAGGATGCGACGTAAAGTTAATTAACATCTCTTTACATTTAGTAGGGTTTAGTCTCATGTTATGGTCCATGGAGAATTCATGAATGTTAGAAATGATCGTATTGAGCAAACTGATAGAGTTCCTGGGTATTATTTCTATGGCAGACGTGTCATCCACAAACTTGACACTCAGGTGCCAATCAGCTAAAAGATTGTTTGTCATTATTGTGAAAAGTATCACTCCCAATTTAGTTCCCTGCGGCACACCTCCCTTGAGGAATTTCCATTCTGATAGTAATGTACCTATTGTTACAGCTTGCTGTCTGTTGGTTAGGAACACTGCGATCCAACTGATTAGCGTTGGGTCAACCTCTAGTTTTCGCAACTCAGTCATTAAGATGTTGTGGTCAATTAGATCAAAGCCTTTCCAGAAGTCAGCGAAGAAGACGCGAGCTCCTATATCAGTACAATCTATTGCATCGTAAATGGCTTGTAACATGAATAGAAGAGCATCTGTTGTCGAGTGGCCTCTACGCGCAAACTGTCGCGGGACGATTTTTCCATGTAACTGTGGCAGCAGTTTATTGCATGTGAATCCCTCCATGACTTTTGCCAGAGTACACGTGAGCGATATCAGGCGGAGATCGCTCTTTATTTCTCTTGGTGGGTTTACCTTTGGGATTGGGGTGACGATGGAAGATTTTAGAAGTGATGGGATGTATCCCTCCTTAAGAGACTGGTTATAGATGTTTCGAATGACAGGGGCTGGTTCGTGTGCAAAGTCCTTAAGCAGTTTATTTGGGATGTTGTCGGGTCCTACAGCTTTTGCCACATTAAGCAACGACAGGGATCGAAACACTTCCTCATTGGAGACAAAAAGTTCCTCTGGTACCAGGCTTGGGGGATAATCACGGGTCAAAGGTGTAAAATGGTCTGTGAGACTTAAAAAAAAGTCATTAATCTTATCTGCAAGTAATTTGGTATTCATGGTATTCCCAAGAAACTGATGATACCACTCCTGCTGAATGTCTTGGCCTGTGAGTGACTTTATTTGCCTCCACCACTTACTGGGATTAGTGGATTCCACTTGAGCAACTTTATCATGATAGTAATGATGTTTAGCTTTTTTGACCTCGCCCTGTACCTTGTTCCTCCAAAATTTGTAATTCTCAGAGTCCTTTCCATGTCTGAGAAATGCAGATTGTCAGGGACAGTCAGTTGGATGTTTCTTAACTATTTTTGTGGGAGGAAGGAATCAATAGCAGAAGGAAGTTCCATCATTAACAGCCTGAACTTGTCTTCACAAGACTCAGTATTAAGAACTGAGTGCTAGTCCTTCTTGGTCATCCAGTGACCGAGCGCATGCCATGCACTGTTGCGCATATCACGTGACTCTATTTTCTTGATGATCGGTTTGTGTTCGGATGTAATGATTGGTCTGGCCAAGATGGTATGTTGATCAGATGATGCGATTTTGGGCAATTGGGATACACTGAACAACTTTGGTCTATTTGTAAAAAACCAATCCAGTGTGCCTGAGTCTCTAGTTTTGAAATTTACAAGCTGCTTAAGATGGTTGGCTTGAGATATACGGTATCTTTTGACTTTAATCCTGTCGTGTGAAGATTAAAGTCGCCAGTAATTAAAACCAGGGCATTTGGCTGGTCAGATAATAGCATGTCGAGATTTCTTTGAATATGTTGCCACCAGATCACATTCTCAGGTTCATGGTTACTTGTGGAGTGGTAAATCACACCTAACACAATTGATGTAATTTGCCTTGGTAGACTATGTTGCCTCATTGATATCCAAATTGATTCGACTTCCTCTTGTTGACAAGATTCTAAGAGTTTCCATGGCACTTTGTGATCTAAATAAATACACACTCCTCCTCCTGTAGTTATTGGATCCTTGCAAAATAGATTGTAACCAGGGATAACGACACAAGAATCTGGCACATTAGGCGACAGCCAAGTTTCAGTAATGCAAATAGCGCCTACAGAGTTGAGCTCCGTGATTTGTTGAATCTCATCCACCTTGTTCGTTAAGGCTCTCACATTAGTTGACAGGATGACAGGTATATCATAAGATTTCTGATGTTTGACCTTCTTTAAGACGCTATAATTCACTGCTCTCGTTGGCTTATCAAATTTGCTGATGGCTGTACTGCTTGTTCGGGGTTGTTTACCAGGTTAACTACAAGTTATCCTACTTGGAATTGGTCTTTGACTGGCATTAGGCTTCTCTGCTCGGGAACGCGGAGCACCACGGTATCTTAGAAGTCCGTTTGCCTTAAGTTTCCCAAGACAAGTCCTGAATTCCTGGTCATGATACTTTTGGGAACGAAGGGCAAGTAATTCCTGTCGGCTATAAACCCTAGCAGCTGCAGATGATGACAAATGAGGGCTATCGTCGTTGTTAGGTCTCTGTGGCTGTAAATTGACCAAGTTACTGGAGTCAGTCTGAGTCCTTGGAGTTCCTGGGTTGGCATGAACATCCATATATTTTGTAAGATCTTTAAATGGGAGAAAGACCCAAATAGAGCCACACTTTCTCCATTCTACAACTGGTCTCTTCGGGGTGTTCGATAGGTTTTTGTTCAACCAAGTTGGACCAGCGTGCTCAGAAGGGACTTTCACTTGAAATAAATGACTATTCGTCGAGTTTAAATCCTTATCTCCCGATTTAACGCATACCGAAGGCAGAAATATCAATAGAAGTAGTAGAAAGTAAAGTAGAATTGTAGAACTAGAAAGCTTAGCGGCCATGTTGCCAGGCATACATATAACATTTAACATTTTATCAACAAGTGAAGGCAACCACTTTTGCCATCACTTGAGCTTAAGCTCTAATATTTTTATATCAGGTTGCCATCTGATAGCTTTTTGTTTTGTGCAAACTTCATAAAACAGGCCAGCTACACCCCCATGTATGTGGCAACTAAAACCAGGTGATGATTGCTCAAAAGACCCAAAAACTTCTTGGGTCTGAAAATTGTCCCATAAAGCACTTGAAAAAACACACAAATTTAAGGCCTGGTTATTTTTCCCCGTGAACTTTTCAAGAACTCCCTGCCTCATCATTTGACTTGATCTGAAATAAAATGGTATAGTCATCAGGACAGTGTTCTGAATCAAACTTTTCACCCAAGATGCTACAAGGTGAGAACATTGATACTGAATATAAAGCAAAACAATGTTTTGAAAAATGATGATGATTTCTTCAGCTAATTCTATGTCAGTGGCTTAATTTATTCAAGGACAAACAAAATGAGACTCAGGGTGCCAATTTCTTCTAAGCTCAGAGGTGGAGTTAAACATTTTAAAGTATTCTAGAATATGTTTTATAGCTGGTGTTTAAACCAGAAAAAACCCTGAAATATTTGGGTGAGAATACAAGGTGTTTTCAGGAATTTTGGGAAACACTCTCTGGAACCTGAGAAAATCACCTGTAATATGGCCCTGAAAAGTTTTGACCAGAGAAGCTTTTGGGTCTTTTGAAAAATGCATGCCTGGAGTTTTCAATTTTTCCTGTAATGTAATACATATTTTCTTACCCCATTTTTGCTGTAACTAGATTTTACATCTCTCTGGATAGTTTTCTTTTTGTATACATTTTTGATCAGTCATTACCATCTTACTGATCAATAAGGAAGTCATGCAAGGAACTTGAAATCATAATGGTCTGTATTTTGTAGGTTTCTCTGTTCTTTTGTGGGTTTGCTGCATCACCTTTAACTTATACTGGAATGCCATAAAAGGAGTCAGAACAGATAATTTTGAAAAGTTAGTCAAATTTTTGTTTTGCTAGCTTGAACAGATTTTTTTTCAGTAGTTAACGGCAAGTCTCTTACAAGTGTGAAGATTGTTTTGTTTCAACAACTTCATTGTGTAATGAACAATCAAACTAAATTGCAAGACGTGAGCAAATCTCAAAACTACATGTATAACCAAATTACCCTTGCAGTGTGCTATTTATTTTTCTTTTCACCTATTGGCTTTTTCCAAGGAATACAATAACATTCCTTATTTATCATTGGTTACCCATTCTTTTGAGTGAGTAATGCTGCTTAGTAACATTTAATCCAGATTCATACTGTGATGCAAATGCAAATGCAAATGCAAAAGCAAACAAGTTGACTTGTCCAACATAAATGCAAAGAAAATGAGATACGCAAACACAGTAGAGGTATTTTTCCAAGATGACTGATGACAATAGTTTTTTTGTTGCAGAGTTTGCTGCAATATGTTATCATTTGTTTTTGCTTACAGAGCTCTGAGGAGAAAATTTACTGATTGGTTCTAGAATCATTGTATTACTGCATCAGTGTATTTGTTGTATATGTTTACACTCTTTTGTAACTCTTTGATTTTGTCTTTCAATTCTGGGAAACTTTTGTAGAAAAGAACAGGAAATTTCTTCACACTCTGCACAAGTTTTTCTTCTGAAATAGCAGAAGATGTCAATGCCATCTTGTTCTGAACTGTGCTGTGCTGTGCTGGCTGGAACAGATGGAACCTGTGCTTTTCACTTGCATGTGGTTCACATGGGTTGGAAGCAAACCCAGATGAAAATGCAAGCACAAGAAAATGAACATTTTTTTATTCCTTGGGTTGGCACTTGGGTTTGCATTTGCATTTACATTTGTGTTAGAGTAATTCATATATGTGTTTCCTTGCATTTGCACCTGTATTTGTATTTACATTTGGATCACTCATGTGAACCAGGCTTTATGCCTCTCAAGTAAGCAGTAGTTTCCTGTACACATACAACTTTTTCAAGAGCTTCTGGTGGGTGTATACAAAAAACATTTATATCTCGTACTCTGATATATGCATTACTTAGATGAACAAACACATGATACCTATATTTCTGCAGATATTATCACCTTGTCTCTTGGGGAATCCCCTTTGTAGTGGCCTGCTTACCTCTGATCAATGACCATTATGGACCTGCAGGAGCCTGGTGGTGAGAATTTACTTTGAAGGTTTTGCAAATTAAAAATAAAATGAATTGACAAGAAAGAAAGTTTCTGTCCTATGTTATCATTGTTACTCTAAGGCACTGGTGTGAATTTGGTTCTTATCAGTTGAACTTCAATCAGGTGCATCTTAAGATATACTAATCAGTAGCTAAATCTGTTATATTAAGAGGCAACAACAGAATTGGAAAAATAGCCGTACTTATTCTATTGTTTTCCTTCCATTAAATTGTACCTTGATAATTAAATGGAAGGGAATTATGAATAACATAGCTAGTCTTGGAAGAATACAAAAGCTATGCTAAAACACAAAATTAGTAACACAATTTTACAGTGGAGCACTTTTTTTTCAGTTGGATTTCAAAACAGAGTGGCAACAGTGTAGCATGGAGATTTGCCACGTAAGTGGATAAGGTTATCCAAGTGTGTGGCCTGTTTGCTCTATTTGATATTTGTTAGCAAGATTTTGTGTCATTATGGGAAGAGATATGGCACATATGTTAAAGTTTGGTCAATAAATGTTTTGTACTTCTAATCCACAGATATTACATTCCTGTGTATCTCTGTATCATTGGGCTTTTTGTTGTTTATTCTTACATTTTCATAACCATCAGGAGACAGGTCAGTTTAAAAATATGTCATTGATCTTACCAAGGATTGATTGATTAGAACACTGAATCAATTAAATGGAACTGGAGCTCATTACATGAGATTTGTAGTTAGAGATATAACATCATGTAATCTAGGAAGGGAAAATGGGATTTGTACCCCACCTTTCTTCCTTGATGGCATTGTACATAGCTGTTTTATTGCACATGGCGTTTGTTACAGAAAAATTGTGTACACCTTTTTGTCACTTTTTAGTGTAACTGTGAATAAATTTGACCTCCTGTGAGAATCTGAACTGCATTTCTTCTTGCAGATAAAACGTTGGGAGGGCACATACAGTGCTGAAGCTGACAGAAGTAAAGTAAATATATTGAAACATTTTATTCTAAGAATTTTAAGCATCTTTGCATAGAGGTACACCCATCTTTTGCTTGTCTCCCACCTTTTCCTCATTTGAAGATAGGGCTGAGCCAGTGACAGAAAAAACCAAAGTTACCTGTTTTTACTTAGATTAATATGTTTAATTGTTAGGAACTGATGAAACAGGACATAAGGCCCTTGATGTGGTATCCAGTGGTTTATCTTTTAACCACAATATGTCCTCTCATAGACAGGTTAGTGCAGCTAGTTGTAGTTGCCATTGTTACGGACTATTTAAATATCAATAGGGGTGTCCCTCAGGGGACAGTTTTAGGCCCTATACTATTTTCTATTTTGGTCAACGATATTAAGGCCATTCTACCAAATCAGAATTTGCTTGTGAAATATGCTGATGATTTAACAATAGGTATTCCAATAAAATTGCGGGCTAACAACGGCAATTCAGCAGCTGAGGAGGTCCGATTGATCGTCGCATGGACATCTGCTAAAGGTATGCAACTAAACTTCAAGAAAACGTGGGAGATGGTTTTTAGAGGCAAATCTACTAAGGCTTTACTTGCTCCTCTGGCTTCTATAGAGCGTAAACCATGTCTGAAGTTGTTGGGTGTAACTTTTCAATCTGATCCGTGTAACAGGGATTTACATTTTGATAATATTATATCGAAAGCCAGTAGTCGTCTGTACATCTTACGTGTTTGTAAATTCTATGGACTGCCGCTGGATCATCTTCATCTTCTTTTTATCAGTCTTATTCTACCTATATTTACATATAGGTAGAATAAGTAGAAGTATGGGGGTAGCAGCTGTAGAAGTATGGGGCTGCGCGTATTATCATAAGTATCTGAGTCGCATAGACAGGCTGTTCAAGAGAGCTTTTAAGCTTGGTTACTGTAAAGAGCTTTTTTCGATTGAAAATATTATTATTCTAAAAGATAAGAAGTTGTGGGCCAAGATCACTGACAGTGATTTTACAACAGCTTTAGATGACCTTTTGCCACCAGAGCGACCAATGGTTACGCTACGTAAGAGGCACCATAATTATATTCTCCCGCTTGTCAGAACTGAACGTTTCAAGAGGACTTTTGTCAATAGATGTTTGTTCTCTTATTAGTTAGTCAGTTAGTAATTTACTTAGTTAATTAGTTTTATACCTGCTGAGTTCATATCATTGTAACTAAACACATTTGTTGTTTAGAGTGCTTAATAAAGACTTTATTATGTGGTCTTTGTATAACTTGCCATGCAGATAATAAGATATGTGTAGTTTTGCATAGTTCAAGGTTTTTGTTTGTAAGAGACACTTTGTGGAACAACTTTGACAAACTAACAGAGAACCAGTGTAACCTAAAAATAACAAAAAGGGAAACTAAGTCCATATACTTTGTTAGGTGAAGTAATTTTGTGCTCTCCCTTTAGCTGACATTTTCAACATTTTAAGAAGATTTCTTATTTTCCTGAAAGAAATAACAAATCAAATGTGAAAATTTACTCCTTATAACATGATAAGTGAAAAATTGATTACTTATTGAAAAGTAACTGCTTCCTTCACTTGACAGAGTGCAACATTCTGTAGACTGGGAATAGCTGGCTCAGAAACAAAGAAGTAGGCATTATATCTATGTAATAGCTGTAGGTGTGTTCATTGTTAATGTGTTGCTTGCTTGCAGAATTCAGAATGCCGCTAGCCCTGAACCCAGCTTCACACTGCTACTGCTTCAAGTACTGTCTAGTCCCTTAGTTGGTAAGTGGAATTACATTGGGATATTGAAGAAAGTATGGAAAACTTTTTGAAATCAATCTCTGTAATTCAGTTCTAAAATAACTTTTAAGCATCCAAGTTCTCAAACAGAGTTTGGGGGAAAGCGTTCTTAAGGGAAGTTTAGTGATGTAGTGATTAATTATTAATTGTTGTCGCGTAAGTACCATTATGATACAGTCAAGATTTTCAACTTAAAAGCTTATTCTGTTTAGGAATGCTAAATGCAATTGTCTTTGGTATGGATAAGGAAACAGTGAGCAGACTGCACTGGGCCCAAATGAAGGTATGACCCTTTAGTTGCAATCTGATATCTGCTAGAGTTCTTTTTCCCCCTCCTCCTAGAGAATAATGCATTGTATCATTGTTTTTGTATTTCAGGTTGCCTTGATGCAACACACAGCAGCTCATAAGCCTCTTGTTAGGGAGTATCCTGTTGGACAAACAAGTGAAGTCAGACCCAATGATGATTCATCCTGGTCCTCGGCTACATCAACAGATTCCCCACATCCTCCCTCTCCCACACCAGTTGCTGCACCACCTCCTCCCTTGGATGAGTAGGTTGCTACCTAATATGAAACAGACTGCTGCCGTGTAATGTAATGTTTTTTTCTAACATGTCCTGCTTTGTCGTAGAAAGTAATTTCGGAAGTCAAGGTAAAATCAGTCGTTAAGATGTCAACAACTTGATGGTCTTGTCGTCCAAAAGGCTTTTCGTCCAAGGCTTTTCGTCCAAGTCTTTTCGTCCAACTCTTTTCGTCCTAAAGTCTTTTCGTCTAATTGTTGAGTCGTTTTTCGAAACAAATAAACACTTTTTAGAGGCTATTTTGGTTCCGATAGCTTTAGTCACCATGCAATCCTCGTTTACGAATTCAACGTCGTGAATTACGATAAATACACAGAAGATGCTTATTTGGGCTCATTTCTGGCTTAGTTGGTTATGTCGGACATTTAGTGATGTTAAACTTAGTTGTCTTTTACGCCAAACAGACACTTCACACCAAGCCTATTATTGCCATTTCTTCCGCACGAAATAATTAAACGGCAAGTCTTTATTTTTGTCACTATTTAATAAAATATATCGCGTTACAACTTCACTTGACGAAAATACTTGATATTGGACGAATGGACCTAAGGCTTTAGACGAGAAGACTTAGACGAAAAGACTCTTGGACGAAAAGACCAGATACCCTTCCAACAAAGCAAGGAAAACTCTAAATAATTTTGGGAAACGCAAACAAGCTAAGAAGCCCCCCTGCGAAACTCGAACTGTCACTAGTAAATCAAATGTATACCAAAAAAGAAAAAAAAAAACACTAAATAAATGAATAAAAAATAACGTGAGCAAGCCGAGGTGTCGGCCAAGAATGCCTTCCCTCGTGATAAGCATCTGTTTTATAGCACTCCATTCTACCCATGCTGCACTTCAACTGCCCCAGTAACCACTGCTCCCATGCCGCAGAAATATTTCATTTCCGGCTAATTCGTATCCACTCAAACGTCGGAAATTGCATTTCTCTCGTTTCTGTTGTCCTGGTTGTTCATTAAGGGAGTACTGTGGTAAACGTTTTAGTGAGAAACCTATTTGGGTTGTCAGTTCATAGGCCCCTTGTTAAATCACTTCACAGTAAACAGCGAGAAATGTAAAAACAAGCTTTATTAAGGTTGTAATAATTATAATATATTGCCACTAGCACAACAGAAATAAAAGGAAAAAAGAAATTCAAGCATACGTTCCTGTTCACTGAACAAACTTTTTCACATTCTCTTTCCCCTGCCTCCCCACCCTCCCCAACCCCTTCTCTTTCACTCCCACATCAACAGTCATCCTCGTGGCATTTTAGTCGACTTGTACTTGAAATAAACCGTAGAGTTAACTTACAATGAGGTAATTGTCAGCAAGAGCGAATATGAAGTCGAGTGAAAGTATTTCTAAGGAGGGGTTCCTTTACTGTAATTCCTATTTCTTACTGGTTCTACGCAGTGAGGAAATTCAGTCGATTCCCGCTGACTCAAAGTTGAAGGGAAAGTGACAAAGGAACGAGTCAACAGAAATTCAGCCGCTACTGAAAGTGATACATTCTGAAGATCGGGAAGAAAAAAGTTTAAGAGTACACAAACAAAGGTTTTTTTTAGACATGTTCTGAATATAGTGTAATGAGGGTAGCTTAGCTTGGCTTGACTGTTGCCATCCTCATGCTTGAGTGTCAGGGATTGTGGTTATGTACACCAGCTCTCTCTAGTGAGCTTGTTCTATCACGTACAATGGTCGTGTATTCTGGACGCAACTTGCTTATCCACTGTCTGATATCATCTAAGTTTACATTTGATTCAACAAAGGTAAATGAACACTTCCAAAATAGTTTGCAAACACTTCCCAAACCGTTTGGTGCTTAGCAAAAAAAAGGCACGGATGCTTCAGGTGATACACGGTTCAATTTATCGGGGGTATACTCGTAAAGAAAATTACCTGAAATAAAAGCAAAAGGTGGTACGAGTTTGCGGAAGGTTCGAATGAGTTATGCAAGGTTCGAGAAAACTTGCAGAATGGGCGACTGTTCGAGTTCCTGGGGGAGTAATTGCAACCGATGTAAATCGGGAATTCAGGGAAAATCGGTTTTGGTTCGAGACTTAAGAGCTAGTTGGAGGTTCGAGATGGCGAGGCGTAATGCCTTCGTAAGTCGAAAGTATGTTGGTATGAGATAGATGCTAAATAGACGGTCATAGACCTCCAAAAACGGCCTAGAACATAAGGGGCGTGATCAGAAATTTAACACTGTTCTCACAAATTTTGGCTCAGCTTCTTATACAATTAACAAGTGACAAAGTAGAACTGGCAATACCGCTGTGGTATATTATTTTAACTTACCGAGAAAGTAAAGATGAGTAGCCACTTAGCGTGTTGCAACGTTTCTTGAGTCTCATTTCACGATAAAGCTCTTGAATCCTTGCTTGAATCAGACGTTGAAAATTCTCACAATTGATGATATTCAGAATCAAATCATATCCATATCACTCGTTCCGTTCCCAAACATTTCTCTGATGAAGGACAGACACTCGGAATACATTAGTCCATGACCTAGTGTGGTCTCTCCTTGGCGTTAATTGTTGATCAGCAAATACCGCACATAACACATTGTGTGAAAATATTTAATCTGCGATCTTGATTTAAAAAGACAGCAATTGACACAAAGACTCCAAAGCATTAACCTGCATTAGCTTAGACAGTTACAATTCCTATTACTTCGCGGCAGTTTTTTTCAAACAATACTTTCTAGGGTAAATTTTCCAAGGTTATGAAACCTTGTCAGTTTCTCCGAGTCCATTTCTTCATCTGTTCAATTTGTTTCCTCGGAAGGAAGAAAAGAACGTAGAAACAACGAAGGGAATTAAACTTAAGAACGGCCTTGTAGCCTTTATCACTATAAAAAATAGTTATTCCTTGCGTTAAATACAGTTGTCACGAAAAAGCACCTATCAACGATGTCAAAGACCAAGAAATCACAGTTGAGCATAAAAGTATATAAGGCAGCGTCTATTCAGCCGCCCTTAGAGTCTGAAGACGACTTGCAATATGAAGTCGCAACGTTGTGATCTACATCTGAAGTGACTACGTTATGAGATAAACGATTACACGTCATCACAAGTTATTATCATACAGTAAGCAGCAAAGGGGATACAATGTCTGTCAAATTACAAAGGGGATACAATGTCTGTCAAATAGAAAAATACATTCAACTCAAGAAACCGCATAAATAACTCCTCCCTGATGTTGAATATTTGTTTGTTGACATTGGCAGCCATTGTACAAGGGAAAATTTAATTCTCCCAGCTGGGGCCGGTCGTTCAGGAGAAGAAGTACTCAATTTACAGTATTAGATCTGGTAATTGCGCGACCCGCCAACTCTGTGCACTGAGTCGGTTCTCCGAGCTGATGCTCTCCCATGGACCTGTCCATTCCTTGATTCCACGATGGCAAATGCTGCTGAAAAGCCACCTACAAAAAGTGTCATTCAATGTTAAATTGGTTTAAAGCTTCATATTAATGCAGGCAAATTCCACAAAATGCCGCAACAAGAGAGGAAGAACTACCTTGGTTTAAAGTGATTCACTGTGCGTGATACCCCTGTCAAAGGAAAAGCCCTGTCCTTGAACCGTTATTTAAAGCATTTTGTTCAAGACAAACTGAACCTTAATTCCAAAGTCTAAGGAGTGACGGGCAATTACGTATTGGATCACTCGACTGTAGGCGTATAAAAAACATAGTAGCATGCACGGTCAGTGAAACATTATTTAGAACCAGCAAGAGGGGTTTCTATCTTAGGTGGTTATTTTTTCGAGTTTGTTCAACTCCCTCTTTACTATTCGTGATATCTTGTGAGACACTAATTTACAGCACAAGTATCAGAAATGAATCTTACTTCGACTCACACCCGCTCTAGTAACCCTTCAACCAAGAGACAACTCATTCTCTCTTGTTTACAACCTGGTTAGTCGTTGGATGAACTACAACTTTGCATTTGAGTTCCTGATCTTATGCCCTAACCTTCATGTCAGCCCAGTTCAGTCTGTTGAGGGTTTCCTTGTTCACTCCAAATGCAATAGCATTAATCAATCCTAAATAGAAATAGTATCATTTGCAAGTCAAAGTCCATACTTTTCATCTTGGCTACTGTTTTTGTAGCAATCTCGGTAAACGGTACACGGCGCAACTCAGGCACAGAATAAATCAGTATTAAGGATCACTTACCTAGGGGGTTTACTTACCTGTTAAAGGTATGGAAATAACATGGAGGAGAATCAGAACAAAGCTTGAGTCTGAATAAAAAGCGTTGTAAACTCTGCAAAAACATGACAAAGACGTTCTCATTTCAGTTACAGAATTCACCACATATGACCTACTTTCTAGGACTTGACAGCGCTCAAAATATCAAATAATCCTTGAATCAAAGAGGGAATATCGGAGAGCAACACAGGCTAGACATCACAGCTTCTTTCACAGATTTAGAAAAGTATGGAGAGTTTTCCATGGTTAAGGAGAAACGTGATCAGTTTTTGGTAAAGTACGGTGTCTAATCTCAAATCTCAAATCGTTCCAGGATAACAGCTGACACGAAGTGATTGACTCTGTAAAATTCGTGTCGCTTACGTCTATGGGACAAAACTTGGCTACTTAACATAGCCCATATAACATCCGAAAAAGTTCAATACGGAAGTTATAATTTTCAGTGTCAAAGAATTTATTTGTGAACGAGGCTCTTTTAAAAAAAAACTACAGAGCACTAACCTTTTTTAAATTTTTTATTCTAAGATGTCGCAATTAGGTAATTTGAACCATTTCAAAATAAATTTAGTGCATACTCGCTTTGATCGCATTATATGTCGTACATGCACGCATATTTTGCGCACAGAGTAAATCGCTTTGACGCGTCGTAGTAATTCTGTCAATAAATGGTCCAGTTGAAGCTACTGTGTCTAAAGCGTTCGCGCCTAATAAGACCGTGTGGGCTCTGAGGTCGAGAGACGTCGAACGCCGCTAAGTTGATGAGATCTCAATCAGCAGTAAAGTTTTAAAACGAAATACAAAGGTGAACATCCTATACTGATTGATTTCCACCATTGCTTCATTCTATTCGCGACTGATAATTTTTTTGTGGTTTAGTTTATGTGACAAGTTACCTGTGTATAAATGGCGCCAATGACAGCACAAGATAAATGAATGGGTACGCCATCAGTGAATTGATGTGGTTCATCAGTAACTGAAGCGTGAACGTAACACTTTTTAGTTTAAAGCAGTTATCCAATTAAAAAACAACAGTATGCACCAAAAACGTCCTGGTTGCTAGCCGCTGCAGAAGCGCTTACACTATCAATAAAAGCAACCTAATCGTTATAGCAGTCTACTTCCGGAAGGTAATTTGGTTATATCAACTAAGTTGAAATTGTAAATTGGCCACCGTAGAGAGCTAAAAAGCTGACGTTTCGAGCGTTAGCCCTTCGTCATTCTCTCTGACGAAGGGCTAACGCTCGAAACGTCAGGTTTTTAACTCTTTACGGAGGCCAATTTACAATTTCAACTTAACTGATATGACCAAATTATCTTGTTACTCCCACCGACGCAGCACCACAGTTTCTTTAGAAACTTACCCCCTTTATTACTTTGCGAAAGGCTTGATGAACATTCTCTGTTCGTGATGTCACGTAAAGGAGCAGTTCATGACAAGTCTAGAAAATATTTTTTGTAGTGGAGAATGTAGTCTCATAACCAGTCTGGCGCAGACAGCAACAGACGGATTACTTACTTACCCTTCTTTGTTCAACGTCCGCCGCATTATTCATTCTGTGAACTCCTTCCCAGCGTTGGACCTAAAATTGAAAGGTCATCTCATGATTACAGAAAAGTACACTTTCACGATGTATACGTTACAAGCCAGTGTTACACTTGACCGGTTCAATATTCGAATGCTGCCCAACGTTCACTGATGATTGTCGCAACCTACAACTTGAAATTTGCCAACTTTTGTGCAACGATAACTCATACATACATGTTCATTCCTAATCTCTGCACTATTTCAATAAGTCTCGGCTGACCCGTCCCACTGATAGAGCGTCAGTTCTCTTAGTTCAACCAGCTTAGATTCTGTCATCATAGGTGAACAATTCTAATTCAAACGTTTCATCATTGCTACTTTCTGAATAGGAAAAAGTGAACCTTTAATTCAAACTGAAGTAAAACTTAGTACATTTTTGGCAGTAGAAGGTATGCTGAATGATGACACGCAAAGTTGGATGGGGGTTTGTCTGATAAAACTGAGGGAGTGACTCAAGAACTAAGTAAATAACACGGTCACTTCGCTCAAGGGTACCAGCCCTTTGACGATTAAAGATCTATCGATGCACATCAGATGCGTTGAACTTCAAAGCACTAACTTCTTTAGCTTAAAACATAAACTCCGACAATCTCATGCTAACCTGTCGCCGGTGAGTAACAAAGATGTAAGTATAAGCAACGAAGAGTCCAATGATGCAAATAAACAAAGGAATGTAGTACCTGATTTAAAAATGGAGAAAAACAGTCAACGGCAATGTAATCTTACAAGGTAATTATCAGGGCTCTCTGACCAACCTCAGTTTTACTGGTAACATTTGATGAATCATGCGCGGCCAAGGCTTGTTTCCGTGTATAGAAAATCCCTTCAGCCATAAGCGAGGATAATTGCCCATAATGTAGCAGCAATAGGAGGGAGTTCACTCAATCTTGGAGGGAAAATTACCCATGTTTTCACCCAATAAAAAAGCTCTTTCCTGGAACTAACAAGTGACAATAACTATCGGTTTTGAACACTGCAATAGCCCTAAGATAAGCTTATTAATGGCTTAAAAAGCTAATAAGCTGAGAATCTTGAAGGGTGGTGAAATCTGTATCTATGCATCCGTGTGTTATCTCACATCTCAGATCCTCGTTCCATTAACAGGTTCCATTGTCAGTAAAGAGTGAAGGGGGAGGGCTACAGACAATCTCTTGTGGATAAATAAATCATTAGCCTATTATTATTGCCTAGTAAGGTTAGTGTTGATAAAACGACAATGGTTATCCAACAATCTTGTCCTGATGATTTTTCGCGTGAAGTCATTAAGCACATTCATCTGTCTCGAGTCCAGGATCGAGATAGTACAATCTTACGTTGCAAATCTCCATATAGCGCTGTTTTCAACATCTCCTGCCACCCAGCTGCAAGTAAAGGTCCACTGAGTTAGTAATTTATTGCAAAACTATACATTTTAGTGAAGCAACACACAAAAATACAAGGTACCCAGGTGAGTATCACAGCAAAGTATTTCTCGTGTTATCATAACTGATTTCACCCAAAAACTTCACACAAATGTGTAGTTTGTCATCTAAAAGGCACGAGGAAAGCATTTTAATAATAATAATGATATCTTTATAGAGCGCTTTAACTATTGGTCAATATTCAAATGCGCTGAATAAGAATATATATCAAATAGACCAAAAGTCACAACTTAAGAGCCTTTTTAAAAAGAAAAGTCTTCAGCCTTTTTTTAAACCCAAAAATAATACTACTAGATTTAATCGTCAGCGGTAATGAGTTCCATAAAACCGGTGCAGCGTGGGTGAAAGCGTGACCCCCAAATGTAGAACAGTTGACTCTGGGAACTGAGAGAAGAAACTGTGAGGACGAACGAAGAGAATAGTTGGATTCGGTTTTCATAGACAGAAGATCGTTAATATAATCTGGAGTTTGGTTATGTAAGGACTTAAAGACAATGAGAAGCAGTTTGAACTGGACTCGGAACTCTAAAGGGAGCCAGTGTAGGTCAACAAGAGCAGGCATTATGTGGTCGAACTTAGACAATTGAAAAACAACTCTAGCTGCTGCGTTCTGGACTTTCTGAGGGCGATCAAGTTGATATTTAGGTAGGCCAAAGAGAAGGGCGTGGCAGTAGTCAAGATGAGAGGATACAAATGCATGGACCAATGTTTTTGTCGTACCTAACATTGAGGAATTTTCTAATCTGTCTTATTTTATAAAGACCGTGAAAAGCTTTACTACAGGTGTTGCCTATATGTAATACGCATTTGGGCATCGAACCATGTTCCAAGATTTCGAACGCTTTCTGAGGGTTTAACGCTAGATTCACCAACGACGATAAAATTGATGTAGATGCAGATGTAGATTTATTTATACTCGAAATTTATGGAGCTTGCCAGGCACCTAGCTTAGATAGCTAATGAATCGAGTAGAAAATAAATGAAATATAATACTAAAAAGTTACAATAAAAGTTCAGAGATAATAAGTAAAATATAAGGTTAACTAAATAATTAATTAATTAATTAATTAATCAACCAGTTAATAACATTATAAATACACTAATATAGCTATATATGCTACTGAAAAGATAGCATACTAAAACTACATCCAGAGTAAAAATTACATTAAGCTGATGGCGGGAGCCGATAATAAGAAACTCTGTTTTTATGTCATTAATCATTAGGCGATTGATTATAAACCAAGAGCGCACTTCAGCGATACAGCTCTCCAGAACTTTGATAGCTTCAACTTGAGATTCCAGGGACATAAGTCGAAAGGAGAAGTAGAGCTGAGTGTCATCTGCATAACTATGGGCGGAGGGAAGATGATGAGAGATTGTATGAAAAAGGAAAACATAGAGAGTCAAAGGAACAGGCCCCAGGCCCCATACAGCTGCCTTGAGGAACTCCACAATTAAGAAAAAAATCGTCAGACGCTTTGCCACTGATTAGAACACGCAGTTTGCGATCAAATAGAAACGAATCAAACCATTTTAAGGCGGTGCCAGTAACTCCAAAATCTCGCTCGAGGGCATTTAGGAGAATCGAATGCTCGATCGTGTCAAACGCAGCACTAAGGTCTAAAAGCACGAGCAGTGTTACTTCCTGGTTGTCAATGTGTAACAGGATATCATTGTGAACTTTCAGCACAGCAGTTTCCGTCGAGTGAAACTTACGGCAACCGGATTGAAATTTAGGAAGAGGTGCATAATTTTTACAGTGGTCAAGCAGTTGCTGAAGTACAGCCTTTTGAGTAGGGGAATAACAAGGGCAGTTTTCCAGTTATCAGGAACGAGACCAGTAAGAAGAGACCTGCATGTTAACCATCTCGGTTATGGAAGGGGCCAATACATTAAGACAAGACTTTAGTAGCCATGTTAGAATAGGATCAAGTTGAAAAGAAGCATTGGTAGATTCACAGATAATTTTAAAAACGTCTTCAACGGATATAGCTGAAAAATGGTGTAATTTCTCGACAGGAATTAAGAGCATATGAACAACATCATCCCTTTGATGCAGTATTTTGTTGCCCACACTAGCCCTTGAAGTGTACATGGAATAACTAGCACTCACACATTGTGCTTACCGGTAAAGCCTTGATTTGTGACTATAATTATATAAAACATAAATTTTTAAGAGGGACTGGAAATGGTATCAAAAGAATGTCTCTCAATATGCTTTAACCATTTTTTATGATATAATAGATAACCATAGCAACAATTTAGCCTCATTAACATAAGTTTATGTGCCTGTAACTCAAAAATGATTTCTGTTACCTCCATTTTTAACATTGCAATCAGCATATCAGTGTACTCATTTTTAAGCCTAGTTTTTAAGAAGTTGGTGAAGAACCACCTTAAATTATGAAAAATATAGTGTCTCTAAACTTTACCTCCAATTTTTCACTTTTTTAACTTTGCAGAAACATGAATCTTGATAGGTGATAACTATGGAGGCCAAATCTATTTTATTTTCAAGTTACAGGGAGATAAAATAAGAAATAAGGGTTTCACGAAGAGGCTGTTAGGATGCTATGGCAAATTTAATTGTGGAAAAAATGATCACAATTTTTTAAATAAGGAAACCCAAACTTTGTTGAAGCCAGATAATCAACCAAAATATTGGTGTTTCAAATTATTGAAACCATTTGGAGCCACCTTGGTCCCAGGCCTCCTGTGGAGTGCCCAAGAAAATATATACTATAGTCATGTAAGAGTTTGGGTTTACCCTCTTTTTAAAGAATGCCACTGAATTTTTTAACATCTTCAACCCAGGTGATTTTCAAATGATCGTCTGTTATGATGGCTAAGATATCCTAATGTAGTGTACCCACAAGAACAGTCACTCTTGTTAAAAGTTGCATAAACCACCTTAATTGAATTGATAAATTAACACTGCAGTTTTGGTTCTCGGGCAAGGCTTTGTGCACTCTCTGTGCTCCACTCCTGGAAACACTTACCACCAAGGTCCAGCAGGTCCATAGACATGTTCACTGAATGGAGCACTGGCAAAGATGACTGGTACACCCCATGACACAAAATGATACCACCTGAATAGAAATGCTGATGGTGTCATACTTAAACTAGCAAAAACGAAAACACACGAAGTAAAATTCCATTTGTGCTACAAGTCTCTTTTCAAGAAATGAACAAGTAATTGTACCACTCACTTCTCTAAGCGTTTGGCCCTGTCTCCTCTCAAAGCTCTCAAGATATTGAAAGTAATACAGCAAACCCAAAACAGAAGTGCTAGAACTGAAAAATAAATGTAACATATTGATCATGAAGTATTCAATTAAATAACCTAATCCGACACCGACACTAGGCTGTTACTGTTATTTTTTTAATCTACATGACCTAGTGTTCCAGTTCTTAATCATTTTGAGACTTACTGCATTTAAGGCAAATCTAGACATAAATCTTACTCCATTTAAGGCAAATCTAGGCTCCAAAATTAATGCAGTAAAATGAACAACACATAGTACCATTAAAATATTGCATACCAATAATTGCTTTTGATCAATAACTTTATAACAAATCTATTTACCAAAATATGTAATGAGCCATGCTTGAAATTCACAGAAGGTTCCTCTCTCTTGTGGGACACCTGTCTGTTAAATGAGTGAATGTAATGCACAAAATAATGAACTTTTAATGACTTAATAACCAACAGACGTTTAATAAAGTACACTGATCCCTGGAAAACACTTGTCATGAGATATACATTATCCGAAAAACTATCCACACTCCAAAGGTGGGGTAACATCTGGATACCAGAGGGGGAAAGAAAACTAGAAAATCTTTTATCAACTTGGAAAACAACAACTGCAAAAGATCAAGCGTCAGTTTCTCTATCTAATGGATGAGGTGAAATATGGTTGCAGAGACTACATGAAGTGGAGACAAATTGTAAAGCCTCACCCTTAATAAGTGGCTTGGTGTATGAAGAAGTTCAAGATATTATTTTAGGCTATCAATATTCAATGTGCAAAGATTGAAGAATTTTTACCACAATTTTAAAACAACATAACAGTTGTTCATACCAAATGAACCCATGCTATTACAATCATGGTATCCTTTCCTCAGATCTGCCCCTTTTAACTTAGTAATTAGTGTAGGCCACACCATATTTCAAGTTTAAGTATGCTTAATACTGAGACTTGGCTAATCACTCACCAGCATAAATGAAATGCTTCCACACAGAGCTGCTACACTAAGTGCTAGAATTAATCGCTGCAATTTGACAAAAATAATTTTCATTGTAATTCAAGACTGTTATAGTGTTAATGAACTAGGTTTAATTAATGTTATAGTGTTAATGAATTAGGATTTAAATAATAGGAACCATCACTTGGTGTAAGATGCATGACATGAGAGGTCCCAGAGAGTAAACATGTATAGCTAAGTTGCATGCATATTGAGGTTGTGAAATATTGTGTAACTGTAGTTTAGGTAGTGATTATTAAAGTTTGGTGGACCGTTTTAACCAAGGATTGGCGTCACTTTTCTGCAGTAAGACACAGCAAAGACGTATTAAGGATGACCATAGGATCCTTTCAGGTCTTTAAGGGTATCAATAAAAATAATTTTTTAAGTGCAGATGTCCTCATTTTAATGAAGGCCAATATGTAAGTAATTTGTTTCCATTTCTAAAACCCGCTGAGCAGCTGCTCAAGCACCTGTCACACAGGCTTGCTGCCAGCCTCATTAAGAATTTGGAGATATCACTCATGGAAGTTTCTTTCACTACAGGCAAAAAAAACATAATAAAAAAAAATTAATAAAAATAAATTAAAAAGAAATACCGAATGTATTCCAAGTGTAATGAATAATTTCCTGTCTAACAAAATTCAAATGAGATTTAAATTAAACCTACCAATGTAAACACAAAGAGGTGCTAGAGACAAGATTACCTATCAAGCATTACACCTCCAACAAATCAAAGCACCTCCTGAAGCACTGAATGTTTTGATACTTTTTTGGGCATGGCCTTGTTGGCTCTTGTGAGCATAATTTAATTAGGCTTAACAACCTTACTTCTAGGGTCTCCTCTCATCCCCGAGACTAAGGCTGTATATGTTTAGAAATATGGCAAGGTAGTTTTCAGGCATATCAGCATTCTAGACAATTCTTGAAAAGTTCTCTTTACCCACAACCCTCATGTATTAGGATTTATCGCTTCTACAGTAATAAGCCTTTTATGTCCTGTTGTAGTGAAGCACTCATTCCACAAATTATGTAACAGTAGCGATCAGGTATTTTTTTTGTTAGGAAACTTGTGTTAAAAACAATTCTTAACCCAAAGAAAACCATGTTAAACTATTTTAAATCTTTTACCTGGTGGAAATATTTGTATGTTTTAAATAACCAGATGATGAAAATAACGAACAAGCTGCAAAATAAACAAATATTAATGAATAGAAATATACAAAGGGATGATCACGAATACACCCATGCCTTGCAAGAAAACCTCAAATTACTAGGCGATTTAAGAAATTCAATTTCATGCGTGTAGTACCTGCTTTTAAAGGGCACTAAACTTCATTTGAAGTCCAATGGGGTATGAATTTAAACGTAGCCAGCAGTCAACATGATATTTAGGTCACTTCAGTTATTAGACAGAAAAAAAAAAAACACTGAAATTTTGGAATAGAGAACATGAAGACAGCTTTCTATATGCCCGAGTTGAGTCAGAGCTGATGGAAAATACGTGTTACGCATCAAAAATCATCGTAGGAAAGCATTAGCACATGGTGACGAATTAAGTCAAAGTGAACCCACACAACAATCTTTCAGGTCCCATGATGACTGTAACGATTGTTGGCATTAAATAATTATGAGCTGAATTTAGGAACTGACAAATGCTTATTTGGGACCGGAAGATCGCGGATTTCATGAAGGCCTCCTATGATACATTAATGATGCTCCATTCTCGCGTCTTCATATCAATCAATCAACTTTATTTAACGAGGGTATCACGGGACAGTGCTTCAACTGAGTAACTAGTGGCCCTCAAAATCTTTTTAAAAATATCTTTCAATATCTTTTTTAAAATTTCTGCTCTTGATACAACTCATAGAAGAAGAGGGATGGCATCATGCGTAACTTCAGAATTTTTCCGAGTTAAATAGAACGGCTGGTACAAATTTGAAAGGAAGTAAACGCTGAACCTGACGAAATCACCCAACTTTCGATTTCCTCAATCCAAACAAAACTCATGGCTGCATTCGAATCGTGCGCTCCTGTTACAGTCTATTGTTTACAGAGTCTGCCAGGATCACCATGAGAATAATATCTTTTAAGGTTTAACAAAGATTACCTTCCTATCAGTTCCAGCGAAGACACGGTTTGTTTAACGGCATAGATCACCGTCTGAAACAGCAGCATGTAGATCATGATAAGTATGGACAATAAGAGTAAAGCAAAGTTGATACATATGGTAACCTACACAGTAGTGCTGCTTGTCCAAAAATAAGGTGCAGTTGTTCGCCATATTGATAAGTTATTGAAGGTTGACACCAGGAAGTAATCTCACACCCACAGTCACGCTCGCGCCAGGACCTTCAGGGGACTGTAAGAAAAGTTCATAGTTGTTCAAATTACCTATTCAACAATGCAACAAGAACATCGTCATTCAGTCTGTCCTGAATTACAAGTCTTTATCTTTGCAGAGAACTTATGAAATAGTGCAGCACTGTATGGGGTCCTGTATGGCCTTTATGTAAGTCTCCTTAGTTGAAAAACAAATGGGGGGCCTCTTGTCTAAGGACGGCAAGTTGTTCGAACAATGATAGTAGGAAAGTGGGATCAAACCAGCGGAAATAGAGTGTAAATCCATTAATTTTTTGCCGTTTCGATCCAGCAACTCGCCCTCCTTCGTTAAACAGTTATTCTTACTCTCGTGACAGTCTTTCCCGATGAATTTGATCGTCAGTTTGAAGGAAAATTGCAAGCCTACCAGTTTCCTTCAAATATTGCTACACGAGGAACACTTAATGATTCATACACATGTCTCAGGGCCTGATTACATGAGCTGAGCTGGCCCGGTTAGCCGGGCTGAATTCTTTTGTTTTCACGCTTTGGCGAACACCAAAACAAAAGAAATCAGCCCAGCTAACCGGGCCAGCCCGGCTCATGTAATCAGGCCCTCAGGATATATTTAACCTACTGTTAACACGACCTATAGAATATCTCTATGTAAATATTTGATTTCCACATTTTCGAGCAATCACAAAACCATTTGGTGTATGATATAAAATAAAGAAACAAAAGCTTTTCCTCTCGTTACAAAAAAGATACAATTTTGATCAAAAATAGTCTATTCTCTGATAAACTTTATAGATGCAAATAACAAAGCCAGTGTATATTTTGTTGGTAAAAACAATATGAAACGCCATATAAACCATGTAAGTGAAAAAACACTCCAACTAACTTCTACTTTCAACACACTACTGCGAAAACTTCAAAACTAGTTTCGTCTACGACCTCGTCAGTTGATGACAAACAAAAACTAAAAATGTGTGAAATTTTTGAAAAAACGCGCAGGTCGTGTAGTAACACACGAAAAGTAGCCGCTCGGAACCAGGTCTCTAGAACTGAAAACTACCCATACTCGATTTAAAAGTCTGGATAGAAAGGAGACATGACAGCGTGTAGGTGATGATGGGTAAGACCGTGATATACAGGTCGTGCTGCGTGAGTTCTACTGCAGAGGTATTGCCTCCAGATCTGTGATAAATGCAAGATCGGCCTTACCGTGGAGTTGCAAGAGAACCATACTTACGCAGGAAGTGTTAAGGATTCTCCTCAACTGTAGCAGGAAGTTACCGTGGGAGGTTGTTGCTCACGTCAACCACATGATGTTACGTCTTCAATATTCTGGTTATGATCAGAAGTTTCGAAAAGAAGTAGTACGGTCGGCGTTGGCTGCCTACAACCGACTGGTGGAACTGGATGCGAATGGTGAGAAGCCGTTGTACAGGCCGAGGGAGTGGAAGGCATACGAACGGGCGCGAGAGAGAAGGAAGAGACGTGACAACTGGTTTAGAAAGGGTGGTTATGAAACAGTGATTTTCGTCCCAGCAACGCCTGGTTCCCAGATTAAACGCAGGTACATGAGAGAGATCAAAGCCACAGAGTTTAAGATCAAAGTTGTTGAGCAATCTGGAACAACCCTTAAAGCCATGCTCCAAAAATCAGACCCTTTCAAACAGAGGCGATGCACCAATGCTGACTGCCTTCTCTGCCGGACTGACGGAAAGGGATCATGCCGAAGTACGGGTGTTACATATGAGTCGGTTTGCCGTGTTTGTAAATCGAAATATGTAAGAGAGACGTCCACAAGTGCGTATACTCGTGGTAGAGAACACTTCCATGCTTAAGAACGGCGAGAAGGGAGCTCTGTTCTGTGGGGACATTGTTGTGAAAGGCGTGGTGGAAATGAAGTGGGCTTTGTAATGAATGTAACGGGGGTTTTTCGTGACGATGCAATGTTGAGGCAGATAACGGAGTCTGTACTGATAAATAAGGTTGAAGAGGGCAAGTTAATCAATTCCAAAAGCGAGTGGAATTAAGGCAACGTCCATGGGGCAGTTGTGGCAATGTGACAGTTCTACAGACCTGGTTCCGAGCGGCTACTTTTCGTGTGTTACTACACGACGTGCGCGTTTTTTCAGAAATTTTTCAAATTTTTAGTTTTTGTTTGTCATCAACTGACGAGGTCGTAGACGAAACTAGTTTTAAGTTTTCGCAGTAGTGTGTTGAAAGTAGAAGTTAGTTGGAGTGTTTTTTTCACTTACATGGTTTATATGGCGTTAAGTAATACTTTCTTGGCTTCGGTCAGTATAATTTCACAAGATTCACAACGACAATATGAAACTGGTGCATGGAATAGCTATATATTTGAAATTTATTTTGTTATCTACACTGCAACAAAAAGGTCCTTCCTGCAGGAATTCGCCCTGCATAATTTAGCGAAAGCTATTTGCAATAATATCTCTGTATAAATGGCTTTGGGGTCTCCAACCAAAAACGCTATTTGCTGTTGGTCTCTACAAATCACAAGCAGTGAAAACTCTTTCATACGGTTATCAAATAATTACAATTTAACTCTAGATATGTGTTAATGGGACCCTTTCCGCATTTTGAAACACCTATGGTACCAACATTACGACTAGTAAAGATTTGATGAAAATAGAGAGATTAAGCAGCGTGCTTACGTGAAACGCCATTTTTCACCGTTGCCGGTTGCGTTTACCATGTACTTAAGATTTTTTTTCGCTTTTTCTCTCAGAGTAAAAGTTAATTGCCGGAAAAAGGGCATCAAAATTTTTCCTCATAAGTCACACAAGGGCACCTTCAAATCCAGCAAGGTTCACCCTATTTTACTTGAACGTGAAAGGGCAAGCTGATGTTTGCTGTTTCACGTAAACGCGGAGTTAAATCTCTACAATATATATGTCACGTTTACTGATTTATGAACTACTTTTAACTGAACACAACGAATATCTGAAATTCATATATCTGAATTGCGGTTATAGTAACGTATTTGTGCACGATCCTCTCAGTAAAGAGCACTATTTAAGCAATAGTGAAAATGAGACCTGAAAAAAATTCAGGCCTGTACGGAATTCGAACCACTGACCTCTGCGATACTAGCGCTCTACCAGTTGGAATTTTTTCAGGTCTGATTTTCACTATTGCTTAAATAGTGCTCTTTACTGCGAGGATCGTGCACAAATACTTTGAACTGATTAAGCTAGCCGAAGACCGTCAGGTTGAAGTCATGATTACTCCTCCAATTAATTTGCGTATTTCTTGATGGCACCAAGAATCTGAAAGGGAACAGCAAAACAAATGACTTTCTATCTGTGCTACATTTGGACTGTCTGTAATAGGGTTCACTGTCGACCAGTCTCAGACAAGGTTCAATGCTACATTTTATCCGCTTTTCTTTGAACTCCGCGTCAACGACGCTCCTTATGCATTTTTGTCTGTTTTTGTCTGCTAGCAAGTGCCGACTAAAATACCACATAAAATCTCTGCATTATTGAGCCATGCGAGGTTACATCATATAGACTAGGAAGCCCTGAACTTCCTATCGTTATCTAGTGTTTACTTGGCTCGAAATAATTTGTCAAGTCAAACCTATTTTTTGCTCGGACACAGGACAAACCTCCATTTCGTCGCTTCCACGTGTAGGACGTATCGCTAAAAAGGAAAAAGAAACACACGCACAAACAAGCTTTGAGAGGTTTCTCATTGGGTTTCAGTATACTGATCTCACCAGGTTATGACAGCTATTAGGAATGCCAGCTTCTGATAATTCTTGTTCATTCAACTGATAGAGAAGCTCCAGGTTATCAGCACCAAACTTTAAGAGGTTGCCTGTGAACTGAGGAAATCCGATTCTATCCATCATCTGCTCAACCGTTTTCGGTTTGGATTTCTATAAAAGAAAAATTAAAATAGTTGATGGCAAAGGAAACTATAAATAAAGGATTAAATTCATATTCAAATAAGTTTGATACCTTAGTATGATGTGATAAAATCAGGCGGTTAGGGTGTTATATAAGACGGTACAAAGTGACTTCAAAAATAGAAAATAAATCAACTAGGTTCTGCCGGATGAGCAGCGTGTTCACTTCTTTTCACAGAAAAGAACTTTTTTGACATAGAGGTTGAATTTTAGAGCAATAATTACAAATGTTAGTATTCATAAAACAGTCATATAAACTGTAAAAAATGACCTTCTTCACTTAAATTTTCCAAAAGAAAGCTCTTTACCTTGGCGGGTAATGGGGGTGGTTCCCTGGGCGCCTGAAAAAAAAAAGATCGTTAATTATTGTCCATCAAACATTCTTGCTCGTGCGCAATTGGTCTAAACGCATCACTTGACCGAATATGCCCTAGTTACTGAAAACTGGATAATATTTAGTATATAAACCCCTTCGGGCGGCTGGTATGTCGGCTGATAATGTGCGCGGCTGAGAGATTTTTCGAAAAATGAATATTTGGGCGAGAAGCCAAGCTTCGAGGGCAAATATGAAATTTTGAGGACAATCTCTCAGCCAAGGACATTATCAGCCGACATACCAGCAAGCCAGAGCGGGGTTTATTTATTTTACAACCATCCCATTAATTTTCACATCGCAATTAAACTGCGCGTAAACACAGTAAAAAAGCCAGTGGTGATCTGATGGCGAATGCGCGTGATTGACGCAAGCAAGCAAAAAAAARACGAGTTTGGTTTCCTTCCATGTAAATAGGAGAACGGAAAAGTTGAAACTCTTGTGCTCACTATGTTTCTTTTTCACGGAAAAAATCGGAGGACAAATATCAACGTGGGCGGGGGTTATTGCGTGATAACTGCCCTGTGATTTTGCACCACGTGACGTAAAGTAACCAATAAAATCGCGCCAGAATTAATGGCTGGGTTATAATCGACAATATTCCCTTCTTGATATTCCTTAATTTTCAAACCTTACGTTCACTACGATAAAAGTCTTCGTTTGAAATGAAATTCAAGATGAGAGAACGTTAGCCCCTTGACATGTTTTTCTCGAGCTTCTCGGAACAGATAATGTGCGCTGACAAATTTTGGAGGCTATTGTTCATTTACCCAACAAACTTTGAACGCTGAAAACTTGATGGGTGGGAGCGTTTAATCTCCCGTAAAACTCTGTGTAATAAAAATCCAGCAACACAGAAAGTTGTTTTCCGACACTGCAACATCAAACCTCATGAAAAAGTATCCTGATATAGCATAACCCGATCATCACCTCACACGGCCCTACTAAGAGAACAACTGAAACAAGCTTGGTTGAAGTAACTGGATAAAGGAGAAGTCAATAAGAACCCAACCTTTGTGACGTCCGTTTGAGGGGCCGAATGTCGTTTTGGGACAGCTGGAGGGATATTCTCACCATGGTGACCATGCCTGTATAAGGAGAGACAACCAAGTAAAATGTTTGTCACTGAAAATAAGAGATTTCAGCGAGAAAAGAATGGATGTTGAAATGAAAATCAGTGTGGTGGTGTACGGTATAAAATTAGAGTATCATAAAAAGCGTCAAAAGGACGAGTGGGCACGTTTTATTGTGCTCTGTGGTGACACTTTTGGCAAAACAACAGGATTGTTTAGCTATTTACTGATTTGCAAGATAGTAAATCCATACTTACTTTTCAGCCGAAGGCAACGAGTCTGAAATAGAACATCATTCATACAACCAATATTAGTATTAGTGTCTGCTGTTATTCAATCTAAACCATAAGTTGGTGTCGGTTCAAGAATTTCTAACATTAATATTTTCGAATAGGTCGAATACTTGGCAAAAAGGCTGACTAAATGAGGAGCTAATTGATCGGACTGACTGACTGTGTGACTGACTGTCTGATTCTGACTGTGTGATTGTGTGACTGACTGACTGAGTGACTGACTGACTGACTGCCTGCCTGTGTGACTGTGTGACTTACTGACTAACTCACTGAATAACCGCCAATGACCTATTGACAACTACTACTGACTTGGTACTCAATGAGGACAGTTGGGCGAGCGACCGACTATTTACAGAATTTGTCACTGCCGCCACATTAACCATCGACAGCCTCTTGTGACCCAAGCTTAAATGGAGGCTATTTAAGTGACGTAATGCATAAAATATTTTATTTTATTTGTGTTAACAACCTTGTGGAGCGAGGCTTTTGCGCTGTGGTAACTGGGGCGTCTTCACTGACCCTCTTCTGTTGTCTGAAAGCAAAAGGAACTATATAATCTGTAATAACAAAGTTCTCACTATTCATCTCATTCTCTTTGCCGGTGAAGTTAGTACTCTGACAACAAAGGACCTGGCAGCTACGAAACTCGAGAAATAGTCTCCAACATTTTCAAAGCATTTCAGTAGAAAAGCAAAACACTCACTTTCTTCCAGATGAGCCACGCTAATGAGATCTATGGGAAATAAAGTAGCATTAGTTGCTTGACATCGTCTTACAACACTAGTGACCTAGTAACACATCCTGGCCAAACATCTTTTGGAAACCTTACAAAAACACTGCACGGTATATTTCGATTTTATGAAGAATTGCTGATCTTAAATCTAAAGATGTTCCAATTCCCCCCTCTTCTACGCAAGGGAAATAATCTTGGAAACAAAAGTAACAATTGCTTTACGATACCATAGTAACAATGTTAGACAGAAAAGGGAAAAGGATTGCACAGTGATGTGCGATTTGCATGTGCTTATACTCAAGTGATCCAGGAGGGTTGTTATATTTCCAAGAAACCGCTGTCTGACACCGATTACAAGAAATACGTGGGTTGTCACGCAGGGATTTTTCCTTATTCATCCTGATTCAATTCCGTTCAATTCGTAATCTCAACACATTGTTCTTCTTCTAACAAACGCACCATAACAAAACCGCTGTAAATTAATTGTTAATCATTACCAAAGGATTGTGAAGACATCTTTGTGTTTTTGTTGTCAGGAACCTTCACGTGCATCTCAATGCTGCCGAGAAACAGATACTTATGATCGTGAATTATAAAGTTAGGTCTAGCCTCCAATGCAACGTGTACAGTGATCAGATCCTTCTAAAGTCACATAAAGAACGTAGTCTTACTTGATTTCTCCAGTTTTCTCGCCAAGATGTGATAGTATGATGCCTTCGCATTTCTGTGGTATGACATTCACCATTGTTCTGAGAGCAATGCAGCACTCTCCTGTATATAAATTATTTTCCAAGAACTATCAGAAAACTAAGATTCTCTCCTTTAACTTACTGCTTGATCAAACGAGAGCGAGGTCGTTAGAGGACAATCTCAAAGTACGGGCTCGCCGAATTGACCGAGCAACAGTATGGTCATAATACAGGTAGACTGAGGCTTGAGAGGTTCTCGAAACGACGCAAGGGTCGAGTTTAAAACGCGGTCCTGAGTAGCCCAATGTGAAATTGCATGCCAAGCCGAGCCTTTACGCAGAAGTGATTCCAAGGGTGACTTTGTTCTCGTCCACAAAAAAACCTGGGAGAGCAACTTATAATTGAGCATTGAAAACAATACGGGATTGCTTTGGTTTTGCTTGGATGCATGCTGCGTTTGGTGCAAAAAGTTGTCCCTCCCTCTCAAACAATAAATACTAGAGCTAATTAACTCAAAACTAAATAGCCATCATCATTAAATTTGGAGAGTTACTCATTATCATGGACGATGAGTGTCACATATTTACAACAGCCCCATCTAGGGCTCGGATTTTTTCTAGAATCATATTTACCGTAAGATTCGTCGTTGTCCACGGACTTGATGGCCAGTAAGAGATACTGCTCCTCAATGAATTTGCGATCTGATATCATGGGATACAGCTGAGTGAAGAAACCAAGGTTTTAAACATCACGATTAACAAAGGTATCGAATCCGTATAACCATCAGAACGAATTGACGAATGAGAAAGTTAGAAGCGAGCTACTCACTGGAGGAATGACTTCCTTTCCCCACTCAGGGAAGACGTACGGTTTACTTGGATTGCATTTAAATGATGACTTTTTTCTTGAGTCAATCACACTGTTTTTTTCTGTCTTCACCATCTCTTTTAGAAAAAAAGGAAAGAAAAACGAAGACACAAGGAAAGAAAAAAACAAGGAATAAGTGATTAAAGAATCATACTGTGGACCTGGAAAATGTTTGGTACAACAACAATAGTCTGTTACAGAGTACAAACATTCTGATTGATATTTTTCGCCTTAAAAGAATTAATTTTCCTGCGTTGAAGATGGACAAGATTGTGATTCAGTTCCTCTGGTTTGTTTGGAAATTCTTGAACACGGATCCTTAATAATAATTCAACGCCTAACTTATATCATGATTAAAACAAATCTGTCGTTCCATAACGTGTCCTGACTAAATCAAGTTAATTTCCTCCCTTACCTTCCAAACACGACGAGTGAAATTCCACGTAATACTGTGTTCTGCTGGTGGTTTTGATCTGTGAGAGATGAAAAGGGTAAACTGAAACCACAATGCTGTTGTACATTCCTAAACACCTTCCCCACTCACAGCGTGTCAAATTCTTTTCAACTAACTCATCAATCCAGTCACAATCCCTCAATTCAGACCAATTGCACTCCGTCAAGCTTACGGCTTGTGGCCGAGTCTCCTTTCAGAAATTTGTGCGCCAAAACGAAGCTATTTACATTTGGTCGTGGACAACAGGTTTTTAACTACCTTTTCTACAGGGTTTATTGCAAAGAACAATTGGTTTTTAGTACTCCTATGACTAAGCCTTCAGTTCATAACTATAATAATGACCATTGTACTTGCCACTGGGCAGGATAGGTATTATTAACTATTTCTGCATTTTAAGGTTTTAGAGATTAGAACTGATCACTTACCATAGCGCCTATATTGAGAAATCTTACTACGCACTCTCCAGAAACGGGACTCTTTGGACTTTGATCTGGAGAAAAAACGAAGAAAATGATTCAAACATGTTAAAAGAAGGAAGGATATGGTCAGTGACATTGACTTCTGAAAATGCACTTCCATTAACTGAAGTTCTGCAACAACCGGGTGTTTACACGAAAAAAAAATCTGGTCTAAAAATCAAATTGTTAGTTCGCGGCATTCCCCATAAATGTTTATAAATTATGGGTGACTGGTTGGAGTAAAACAGTATTTTCAGTAAATTTACTTTGAATTTTTAGGTTAGGTTATTTTAAGTCTCCACATGAAATTTCCAAGCAATGGTTTTTGTAACTTGTAAGTGCCTTTGTACATCGAAGCAATAACGTAAAAAATTACCTGGCGATACAGTGAATGGAAGGGACATGTCATATGTACAGAAAACAGGCCAGTGGTCACTTGATTTGATGTTGGCAGTACAACCTACATGATAAACAATCATGACTTTTTGTCTACAACCACTTTGAAAGATAATACTAAAGAGAGATGGCGCAGCCCTTAAAGCAATCGCATGTGTAATCTTATTGAAACGGGACCCTGGCGGAGGCAACAAACGCTTTAAAATAAATGCAAAACCTTTTTTTTCCCCCACACAAGTGCACTAAGGAGTCCTCATATCTTAACCGTAGATTTAGGAGGCACCAACAAAAAACCTCAGCAATGTGAAATTGGACGTTCGCTAAAATCGCACAAATCGAACCCAATCGGACTCAGTCCATTAGATTGTGTTGGACATAACCACTGCATAATACTTTTCTCCGAAATTACTGCGTTTACATAAAACACGTGTTGTAGTCCTGAGTATATTCGCAAGCCTCCAAGAATTTGCCATTTACCTTGAACTCCAAGTTAAAAAATCAAAAGGACGATTGAGTTCGATCACCCCTATTATGTGTGCATTCGATTTCCTGCGTTTGTTCAGCACAAGTGAACTCTATTCACGCGGATTGTGATCGCTTGAGTTCGATTGAACAAAAAGGATGGGGGTGTATTCAGGGAATTTTAGACGCGGACTACATGCACCTACCATATGAAGTACAGCAAATCTTAGATTGTGGAAATGAATGCTTCAATACTCTGTCACACCAAGATGGTACATTAATCAACACCTGCAGTAAGACCATTGTTAGTGATTTGTCTCAGATCCGCAAACATTAGCATTAAGCGGTTGAAGTAGTAAGGCAAACATTAGCAGTAAGCAGTTGAAGTAGTAAGGCAAACATTACCCCTGATCTCTTGTTCTTCTGCCACGTGTATTCACCACTTCCTCTCTTGTATCTGTATGTTGGTGCAAAGGTAATCGCTTCTTCCTCTGAAATTTATAAAATTTCTCTCACAAATGAGAATTTGAACGAACGAATGGACAGGTGACCAAACCACAAGAAAAATCAGAAATATACATTTTTCGAAGAAGGCCTCGTGTATTTGTGGTATACAATATGATAATATATAAATATTAAGTAAACTTTAGGTAGGTTTAACGTACATTTCAAATCTTACCGAATCCAACAAAAACATTTTCTTTTTCTTTCTCTCTTTTTAACTGGTCGTGGTTCTTTAACTTGGCAAAATTTTTGGCTCCAACAGCGTTTAGTACTTCCTGCAAACAAGAAGTGCAGGTTGGAACGCACGAACATGTGTACTTTGGAAGCCGAAAAATACTACACTGTTATTCACAGTGCTCGATGATCACTTGTTCCAGTGGAAGTGACCTTCCTTTTCAAGAGCCTGAGTGGAAGTTATCAAAAATGGACTCCAACTTTGGCCACAGGGGTACAAAACATCCCGAATAAAATGTTCTTTGATTGATAATCATACTCCAGTGTATATCATAGGAGCACTAATTCCAATTTGCTTCTGATAGTTTAAGCTAAGACTGATAAGGTGTGACTATTATAACAAAGCAAGGTAGTCCTCAGGTAAATTTGAGCGATCTGACTGATTCTAACCATAGTTAGTAAAGGGGACTGGGTCCCCTCTACTAACTATGTTCTAACTTGGTCAGGATTTTGCCATACAGACCGTTTCCACGAAACGGTCATAAGTCCAAACTATGTACACTTGTTCGGGAGAGCCGGCAAATTAAAAACAAAAATGTTTGGTCGGAGTTCAATAAAATGACCCACTTGCTAACTTCGCTTGCTTGAGCCGTATTCAGGAATATTGACCCTCGGTCATTTTTGCACACACCTCGCTGCCCTAGGTCTGTACTGCCACGACCTTGGGCCAACATTCCCCACTGCGACCCTCACATTTAATTGATAACAAGTTATTATGGCTGCCTTGAAAATAAACTCGCACATTTCTGTAAAAGACCAGCAGACAGTCAACGAAACAAGACAACTTCTGTTCTTCATTGTTGTGAGTGGAAGTAACTTTTACAGCAAATACAGAACAGGGGGTCTCTTTGTTAGTTGTTGTTGTTGTTTTTTTTTTCACTTTGTAGTGTTGGATAGTGAAATAACCCAGGAGTGAAAGAGCAAGACGACAGCTTCTTTCCCTCACCTGAACTTCCATGTCTATTCTGTAATTAAGATCTCCAAACCAAAAGACATGATGGAACTGATGAGTGATATCAAATACACCTTTTTGACCCAGATTGAGCCCCTTGAGAATATCAAGAAAATTCTGATTCCGCCTACAATGAACACAAATAGGGCATTATAATTGTGACTTAGTTCTTATCAATTTGGTACAAGATGACACTGAGACACTTAACCACTTGAGAAACTTCCTCAAGAAAGACTTAGACTTAAAGAGCCGATTTTTGTAAGAGTGTGTAGTAATTATCAAATGCATACAGTAGCACTTTCGATGCTGTCCTCTCCCCTTGTCAAAATTGCCTCTTCAATTCAAGATAAAGGTTTGGTACAGTTACTAACACTGAGTAAAAGAGATCACTGGCCCACAAAATCACACAGACTCTGTTTAAAACAACCAAAAAGTCAATTGTCTTAAGTATTACTTTAATGGGTTGAAGGCTGTGCCAGGCTAAACAAAGTACAAGGAAAACCAAACGTTCCCTGCTAACAAAACTTCGTCAATATGCAGTTGAAAGAAAATTAGCCTATTACAGGGGTGCAGTTGGTAAAAAAAATCGAAATAGAAAACTGCGCGATAGTAGCGGCAGAACGAAAATGTCGGAGGTTTGGGGCGGGTCGTTCATCACGCGAGCTGACCCAAGCCTCTCTCGTTTTTCACTCCTCCGCTACTATATAGCACTCTTTTCTGCGCCGTTTACCATCGCGCTATGTTCTACCAATTGAAGTCAATGAACAACTGGAACAGGAGGAAGAAAAATCCACATGATGTCACATTCAATTCCTTTCACAAGGGAAGGTTTTCATTCTGTTAGTTGAAAGACCTTAAAAAGTCAAGGTGTAAGATCTAATGAAAATAAATGCACATAGGGGAAAAAAATGGTTTTATTTCTTCCTCACCTTAAAACCCTTGCAGGAGTACTTCTTGCTGCCAGATGACAATTGATGAAACACAAGGACACTGAACCCAGAGAGAAAGAAATACCTACTCCACCTTTGTTTCCTGTCAAAAATGAGATGATAAATTGATTAATGATGGAAACTTAATTATTTGAACAGACATTTCATTTAGTATCTTGCAGACACGCATAGAGGGTGAACGAATGGTTTTTCACAAGCAAAGGTTGAGTAATTTCAATCCAAGCGCGAGCTTAATTCGATTATCCTGATTTAGTATAAACTTCTTCTCAGCTCTGTAAATAGCGGTACTACTATTCACGTCCATTTCAGTTGATAATTGTTCGCTATGTCGTGTGTCATGTGCTACCTCAGATGTACTGTATGCCACAAAATACACCAGAGAAGACCATTAAAGCCTATAATCAAGCTACTGACACAACCCAAATTTTACATTGAATGAAAACATAAGAATCTTTAACTAAGTATAGATACATGTACATGCATCTAAAAAATCAATCACGGACTGTATCACAACCCTATGAAAACGATTATGGGTGATAGATAATGACAATGACTAAAGTTTACTTTCTCACCAAGAGCATTGGCTATGCCAGTCTTTACACTAGACTGTTGTAAATGAGATACCATGTTCTTCAGATCTTGATTAATAAATACAACCAGTCGAATACTCCAAGATGAACACACAGCCAGCTAGAAGGAGAAGAAAAGCAAAACAAGCTCAGAAATTATGGCAGGGATACAATACCCTGTGTGATTTCAACCAATGCAATGTAGGGCTGAATAATGCATGATTAGCCTTTGAGAAGTTAAGAATCCTCTAACAATCCAGATTTCAAAGAAAACTTCCTCTTTCCTTTGTGTCATCTTATGCAATTCAGAATTCTACATAATCAATGAGTCCCTCCGAAAGAAGGTCAATCCCTCCAAAATAATGCCTTTAGATAATAATAAATTTTATTTTGAGCATACAGAAATAGATACTATTGCCAACAACAACACTTGGTGTACAAGCTGCTACAAAGACCTTTAAAAGAGACAACAATTTATTGGTCAGTAAGTCAAGGGGGGTGAAAGTGTCCTCATCCAACAGTGCTGCTGTATGTTCCATCTCATGGTTATCAGAGCAGAGAAAGACGGATGACATCAAACTGTGAGGGAAGTAATGATGATGAACCCCCTTAATTAGCAATGATGTCATGCTGAATGAGAAGCAAGTTTGGACTGCTGCAAAGGACCTCAACTGGTTGGGATCAAGAGTTGAAGCCCCTTCAATTTCCCTGCCGTGAGATGAGGCAGAGTCAACCAAGAGATTTATCTTCCACTCAAACTATAGGTACATCCTCAGATGAAATGAATCTGCATCAACTCTTGTACAAACCCCAGCCGACAGTACGTACCATATGGAATTCTTTGTTAGGATAGGCTCTTTTTAAGTTTTCTTTTATTCTGGAAATCCAGTCTTTTTCATTAACAGGACACTCCTAAAAAAAAGTAAGTTTCATGTCTCTTAATAAACAAGGCCTCATTGTAAAAGTTCATTTGAAGTATATGATCTCATCTGGACAACCAGAGATTATTATCACGAAGGAATTAATCAAGCAATATTTTCACAAGCCTGATTGAACGTTTTGGGTCCTTTTACCTGAGTTCCAATTGCATAGATATCATGAGGTAACAGAACCAAGGTGGTGTCCAACGTTTTTCCGTTACCTTGACATTTGAGCCAGGATTTGATATCACGAGGAGGATCTGCATTACCTGAAATATGAGGCATCATCAACTACTGTTTAACTAAATAACTCCTCCTAAATATAATTATTTAGCAGAAACAAAGACCTTGAGAAGATACTATGACACCAACAGCATGCCAGAGACTTAATATTCAGTTGGATGCTCTGAAGATCACGTAGTCTGTGCTAGCTGAGTTGTAATTCAGTCTATGTCCAGAATTTAAAAAAATGCAGTGTCTAAAACCCAGTCAAGTGAATGGTGTGAGTTATAGTGCCTTCAGAAATGGATCAGTTTGCTGATTTTTTGCGCCTAAACCAAACACCAGACTGCACAGCCTAAATTATTGAGGTTGGGTCAAAAACTAAACTTAACCTGAATAAATTGTTATAAACTCTATCCAGGTTAGGTTTTCTGTTAAAATAAGTTTTTTCTTGAAACTGCTTACATCAAAGTTTACAAATGCCTTACCCATGTTCCATGTCCCAATAAATATTCTCACTTGGGTTTTCAATTCACTTTTAGAGTACTGATTCTTCATCTGCTGCACAAGTTGACAAAACAGCTCACGGGACTGCAAATGAAACAATGGAACAATTTGTCAGTACAGTGCATATGCTTTAAGAGCTTAGAAATAGTACAAACATTTGCTAAGCTCTTAGCATTACAGATGTTATACCATTCACAGCAATGTTGCTTAATAATGGACACAAAGGCATTTTTCAAAGGCAATTTTTTTTTGCTCTCTTCCTCCTCAAAACACCTTCTTGCATGTATATATAATATTTATTTATTTACAATACCCCCAGTGCTTGTGAGCAATATGAAGCAAATCCTGTATTCTGATTGGCTACCTGAACCCAAATTGCTGGCTCAGGGTTGCCTGCCTTGATCTAGCCTGAGAAAAAGATTGCATGGAGTGGACTTTCCAAGTTTGTATTTTTTTACAATGTCGGGGATGGAGTTGCAAAAAAGGGAAGAACAAAGACAACATTAAACACTCTCATAAGTTTATTTTTTTTGCTATATAATACATCCTTGATTGACCAAAGTTGTTCAGTCGAGGTGGCTAGATTTTAGCCTCCTTCTTTTTTATAAATACACATTCAAGCATCAAGGTAAGATGAAGTTTCAAAAACTTTCCAGCATATACTTTAAAGTATTAGAAAAAAAATAATAAAATTTTCAACAAGCTCTAAGACCTGTATTTTGTTTTTATTTCATAAAACCTAAAATCACAGTGCAGTG